AAGCACTAAACTTGATTTGTGAAACATAAACAAAAATATAATAAAAAAAATCAAAAATTAAGGTTGGTATTAATATTTAAAAATTAAATTGCTATCTTCATTGTTGCTAACTTCGGGTTTAATGTTTTTTATTCTAACTTTTTTGTTTTTTGAGATAAGTGCGTCATCTTTGGACTCATTTTAAAGGTTTCTTAATGAAGATGACAAATATGTCAAAATTGATGTTGACGTTTCAAACCGGAAGTGTATGTATCTCCATTAATGTCAAAGTTAAATATGTCGAGTTTGGATTCATTTTCAAGGATTTTTTTATAAAGTTGACAAATATGTCAAAATTAATAGTTGGAAGATCGAACTTTTTAGTTTTTTGAGATAAATGCGCCATGTTTGGACTCACTTTAAAGGTTATTTTATGAAGATTACGAATATAATAATAAAATTAAAGTTGACATTGACAACTGAAAGTTTTTTTCATGACTAAACACGAATATTTCTAGTTTTAGGTCTAGTGTTAGTTCTAGTTTTAGTGCAATAAAAATATGCAACATAGTGATATTTTATGCTAACCTACCACTGTCGTTTGTAAAATGGATAAGATGAAAGATGTTAATATATTTGTAGAGTCTCTGAAGATGGCCAGGGACCGAAACTAGTTAGACTTAAATTCTATATAAAATAAAAGACAAACTTTTAATTTTATACTAACATCTAGAAAACGACACTGGTCCGAAATTGTAGGTTCATTTATTTTTTCTATTGTAGAATTTCTTGGTCTAAGTGTCGTATCTAAGTCGGTTCTTAGACGTATGATGTAAATCGGACTTAAAATCGTATAACGTGATTAGCTTAGTAGTATTAGCTCTTAGCTTTATCCTTTAAACAAATGGTATTTTAACAAATGGTAGATAAGTTACACCTTTACCTACCAGACAGCATGAAAATCTCTAAAAACGATCAAATGTCGCTTAGTCAAGTGATATATAACGCGGTCCAATTAATTGTTGTTAACAGAGAAATCATCTAAAACTTTCAATGACGTGAAGTAAATCTATCTGGGATTAAAATTAAACTAGGAAAATTATATATATATTTCTTTTATTGTTTATTTTACACAATAAACATAAAAAAATTCTTGTTTAAAGTGATTCAAATTTTAAGTAAATAGGTTTTCTTGGACTTAATAAAAAAATTCTTCCATCAAATTCCATATCTTTATACTTGTCCACAGGAACAACTCTAAATTTTGAAAGAATTTTAATAACACCTACTAAAATAGCTGCTTTTCCAAATCTTAAACCTACAAAAAAAACTTTGGTGTTTATATTTTTGCATCAATAAAAAAAGTTGGAAATTTACCAATACAATGTCTGGGTCCTTGACCAAAAGTTATATTTAATAAATTATCCTTAATATTAGCACTATTAAATCTTTCCGGATCAAATTTATTCGGGTGGGTAAAATTGTTGGGGTCATAGTTCACGCCTTGAATGGAAATGTAAACGTTTGTTCCGCGATCAATAGTAATGTTTGTGTTTGGAACTTGATAATCGTTTAAACACACGCGGTCGAGGAATGGTAGGACGGGATATTTTCTGTATGTTTCTAAAAATATCGATATAATTGAATAATAAGAGATTATTAGGCGATTTCTTAAAATACCTTCAGTTACCATATTTAGATAAGTCATTCTTCTAATTGTATTATAAGAAATATATCCGTCATTATCTAATAAAGTCGTTTGGATTTCTTCTCTAAGTTTTTCTTGTATTTCTGGATGATGAGCTAATTCGTGGAATAAAAACATTAAAGATGAACCAATTGTTTCAAATCCAGCAACCCAAAATTGAAGGGCTTGAGCGTATATTTCATTTTTGTCTAAAAATAGAACCATAATTATTTATTTATTTATGTAAATAATATTAAACCTTGAATATAAATTTGTTTTTTATCCAACTCTAAAATTTTCCCAACGAAGTCATCTATGTTTGTATCATCTCTATTTCGTATCCTTTTAATTTCTTCAATCATTTTAACAACAAATCCCGATCCTTCTAAATCTATGAATTTCATGTTAAACTTTTCCACTAAATTAGGTAAAACGAAATATGATATAAATTGTATTCCCCTCCAAAGATTGCAGGGGAAAATTTTTTTTGTGAAAGTTCTCGAAATTGCGTCGTTGTCCATAAAAGAATTTGCTTCTATTCCCAAAGCGTTTGCTGTAATAACGTCAGTAGAAAACGTATGAAACATTTCTTTGGCATCTAATTTTCTATTTTCATGAGTTTTTATGAAATCAACTAAATTATCACCAACTTTATTTAAATTTGGATACATTCGCCGTATTTTTCCAGTTGTAAAAGTTGCGCTAAAGCTTTTCCTCATTAATCTCCAACTCGGATTCCTTAAAGCAAACATCATCTTCGTCCCTAACGGATCACCTTCGTAATTTGTAGCCACAGTTCTATGATTAAAATTTTCAAAATCCTTCACTAAAATCGTTTTTATCAAGTTTACATCTTTCAATAAAACACTTGGAGTAGCACCAATGTGGAAACCCACTAATTTATTTTCTGTCCGATTATACGCATTCCAAAGAAAATCACCAATCGACATTTGTAATGTTAACATTTTTAATGTTCCTATTATTGAAAATATCGATAGGGAGTGCACATTTTTTTTTAACCAATAATATTTTAAAGAAAAAAAGTAAGAAATTAGTGTTAAAAATGCAAAGAATAATAAAACGAGTAATGTCGACATTATTGAACTAAATTTATGAAAATGAAATGTATTTGAAAGTTATCCGGTTGTAAGGTTTTTAATTTGTTTGCTTTGACTTATCTATTTATGTAGAATAATAGTAATTTACTCGTATTTTGAACTAAACTAATTGACCTTGTTAGTTGAGGTCATGAACATTTGTTAGTCTTCCGGTCTGAGTCTAAACCAAGTCTATACTACTATTCTGTGGTCTAAACGCACTCTTAGCTTAAAATCCACGTTTCCTTCAGAAATCGTCCCTGGATGAAATGAATCCTGTAGACTTTAATATTGTTCAAAGTTCTTTACTTGCACAATCTTTGTCATAGGGGTGAAATTAATTCGTTCCATGATTTATAGCCTCCCATAAGCGTATGACTAATAAAATAAGAAAGAAAATTAATTTTAGTTGAAGTTGTATAATAAAACGTTATCTCACATCTTCTTATAGCTTTATAAACGAGTTAATGACATAAAAATGTCACACAATGTATTCAAGAATGAGTTTAATTTAAAAGATGACCTTTAGAAAAGATTAATAATGACCTTCGTGTTATTTTTATTGCTATCGATAAATATTTTTTTCGTCCTTAAAGAAATAAAACTCGTTTTGTATAAATAATCAGATAAGCATCGTATAAAAGATGGCATATAAAATTAGAAATTAGTACTCCAACAACTCGATCAAGAATTATGTGGTTTATTATTTACTTACTTTCTATACCTCTAATTTGGTTCTTTTACTATGTATTGTATCCAATATTCTATTGGAAAAGAACAAAAATTCCATACGCAGGATTTTCATCGGCTTTTTATGGATTAAGAGCACTTTCCATGCGAATTTCTTTAGGAGGGTTATTGTGGAATGTTTACGACAGTAGTGCCGCGAAAGCTAAAGTAATAGGATTTCATTTATTCGGTAGACCATGCGTTGTTGTTAAAGATCTCCAAGTGATGAAACATATTTTAATCAAAGACTATGAAAATTTTCAATACAGGACCGTTGAAGTAAACGACAAAAGCGATCCGATTGGATCGAGAGTTTTATTTTTCTTAAGAAATCCTTCTTGGGAATTAATGAGGAAAAAGTTTAGTAACACTTTTACTGCCACACGTTTTCAATCAATGTATTCTCAAATGGATTTTGTTGGTGATAATTTATTGGAGTATATTAGTGACAATTCCGAAGAACAAATTAGCGCTACAGATATTGTACAAAAATATTCGACAGATGTTATTACTTTAACCGCTTTTGGGATAAAAGCTAACAGTTTTATTGACAGCAATGCAATTTCCATTAAAACTGCTAAAATTGTTTTTGAAGGTACTTTTTATAGAGGCGTGCAATTTATGAGTTATTTCATATCGCCTATTTTAACTAGAATATTTAATATGCAATTTATTCATAAAGCTGGTGTTGATATTTGTTAGGCAACCACATACACATGTATGTATATGTAAACATATAGTTAATAAGAGATAATGTAATGTGAGGTTATGTTAATTCAATAATAAAACAAGTAAGAGTTGTCCCGCGTTTTATTAAGAAGATTAAGCCTTTTTCAATCGTCTTTAAGCGTGCATCTATCAATATTGTTAAAGAAATGATTAAAGATGTTGGAATTTATCGTAAACAAAATAAAATTGTTAAAAATGATTTTATTGGTACTATGCTTGATATGTTAGAGAACAAAACTTACATTGAAGGTAAGCTAACCCCTTTTATTTATTTTTTTTTTAATTGATTTTGTTTGTAGGAGAAAAAGAAATTTATGGCCAAGGAGTACAATTTTGGCTCGCAGGATTTGAAACAATCGGCTCATCTCTCATATTTTTATTATACGAATTAGCTCACCACCAAGAAATTCAAGAGAGATTAAGAAAAGAAATTATGAAAACTTTTGAAGCAGAAAAGGGAAAGATATCTTTTAAAGCAATAAAAGAAATGGAATATTTAATAATGGTAACAACAGGTAAATTTTGTCGCTATAAAATAAAAAATACTTTACTAAAAATTTTTTTTAGAATCTTTAAGAAAATATCCCATTTTACCATTTTTGGACAGAAAATGCATAAATGATTACGTAATTCCCGATACCGATTTAAAAATCGATGCTGGAACAAACGTTTATGTCTCATTATTAGGAGTTCATTATAACCCAGAAAATTTTCCAAATCCTTTTATCTTTGATCCGGAGAGATTCGCGAAAGGACGTAAAGGAATGAGTGAAGATTTTAGTTATTTATCGTTTGGTGCAGGACGACGACATTGTATAGGTAAAGATGGTGTTCCAAAATCATTAAAGGACAATAAATAAATTATTTTTTAGGTTTAAGGTTGGGTAAAATGTCACTAATGGTAGCTGTGGTAAAAATTTTGGGTAAATTTCGCATACATTGCTTTGACAAATATTCTGAAACTAAAGATCTTCTTGATACTAAAGGTTTTTTGTTGGGGTCCAAAAAGAAAATATTATTTAAATTTGAAAAATTATAAGTTACAGATAAAAATAATAATATATTGCTAAATAATCCTCAGAATATCATTAATACTTTAAAAATAAAAGGTGAATTAATTAGACAAGGTTAGTTTGTTTTTGCACAGCTCACCACTTTATTGTATTGGCCATGTTGAACTTTTTCATGGAGATTCTTCAAGCACTCAAGACATTCTTTGAAAGTTGTCATGGGCTCAGACAAGAACTTTTTATTTTTAAATATATGGCTAACTTCATAGATAAGAGTCTTACATATTGGATCACGATGGTTAATTCACATAAACAAGCTGGATAACGTTGAGTTTACAGACGATTAGTGTAAACACTCGAGGTAGTGGAAAAATATGAAGACAAAGGACTCACACTAAATGCTAAAATGCACTTAAGAAGATAATATCGACCAGCTTGAAACCTTTGAGATGTGATGTTATAGAAGAACCCTGAGAATAAGCTGGGTGGGCAGAACAACACGGAGATATTAACACGTTGAATGCCACAATAGTCACTAAAAGGCTATCCATTCTGGCCGGAACAATTTTAAAATTAAATAGGTATGAGAATCAACTGGTGCTTCTCATAGCTGTTGTAGAAACAATGCACATGAAATAAAATGCTGTATAAGAGCTTTCAATAAACTGAGTCACAACATATCTCTAGAAACAAAAGTAAGAAATCTGAGATGCTATATCTTTTTCACATTGTTATATGGCATAGAATCCTGGGCCTTGACAGAAGCCACAACTGAAAAATTGGAAACTTTTGAAATGGCGAACAGGAAAGTGCTACAAAAAATGAATAAGGAATTGGAAATGATTTGCACCCTCAAACGCAGAAAACTTAAGTAGCTGGGGGATGTCATGAGAAATCAATACAGATATTCCCTGCTCCAATGCATAATGGAAGAGAAAGTCAACAAAATCAAAACTGCCAACTTTCGAATCGGATTAGCACCTCAAAACAAAACCTTAGAAATGTTTACTCAAACGAAAGCGTTTGTTTTTGCACGCAATTTAAAAAATTGATAATGATTAACTATAAAACTCAAAATCATTATACCACCTTTTAATAAGATTTAATTTATTTTTTCAATCAAATCAATAACAATTTTAACATGCTTTAATGATTCAATGTAACAATAAAAATATGAAATCACATTAATGGGATGTATATGTTGTCTAAACTACAAGAGTAGGTTGGAATAAGGAATGTGGATTTTTTTTAATAATACTAATGTGACAAATTATTTCATGGTTGGCAGTTACTATGTGAAACACACTTAAACAGACCGATTCAATTCATCCCTTATAATGGAAACTTTAAAATATTAATGTTAATATGTGTTCTAGTGGTGCAATCATATTGGCAATAGTTAATTCGAATGGATTTCAACAGTAAATTAAGTTTGAAACTCAATATCTCATCATATTCTAGGTTTTTTTTAATACTACACTAAAAATTTTGAGGTAGATTTATCAACTTCCTTTTAGTGTTCTAATAGAAAAGGTACAAATATAAAGTTATAAATTTTGTAGATTAGGAAATTTTTCACATATATATAAAACGCTATATTTCGTATAATAAAATATTACTAAACTACTATCTTCAGATGAACACATTTTTTTTGCAATTTTTCATAATCAATTATCAAGTGTTAAAATTAAGAATACTTGCCATGTTTCTATAGATAAATTAAGTCAATTGGATTCTTTTAACTTTTTAATCCTTTAATAATTAAGTTTTGATACACATTACTGTAAAAGTACATTAATTGTAGATAACTTGAAAGCTTTTACAATAACAATGAAATAGCACTTCAGGCTATATTAAAGGATTAAAATGTTAAAAGTGTATCTTATATAGGTAATAACAAATGTTTTCTTGGGCGTTTCTTAATATAAATCTTGCAAACAACAATCATGCTGTAAAATCCAGTAATAAATAACAATACTCCATAAAAAATCAATGTTGGAAATCTCACAGGTGACCATAATACTGTATACGAAATATTTTCTCCTTCTAAAAATATTTAATGTATTAATACGAAATTAATTCGTCGTTATTTTACCAATAATTGCATAACCATGCCCAATTTTATCTGTACCCATTCTATAAGATACCGTTGGCACAATAAATTCATATGTGTTCAAATCACTCAATGGATAACGAAATATTTTATTTTCTTTGGGGATTATTTTAAGAGTATTTTTATCATTTCCATTATGTTTCATATCAATAATTGATGCAAAATGATCATGCGCAGAAAATATAACATGGGGTTTTGTTGATTTTAACATCTAAAAGTAACTTTCATTTTATAAAAATAAATCACTCAATAATTTTAATTTGTACCTCTAATTCATAACCACCAGATTTTTTCAAAAGCGGTATGTGACTTAACCCCACATTAATTTTATTCGATTCATTGTCTTGAATTGGTTCAATAAAACTCCTTGTAAGTATATTGTATTTGTAAAAGTTTACCATCTTAATAGAAAATGTATTTGTTTGATGGAATGCGTTGTAAAAACGAATAACCTTTTCTTTAGTGACAATATCATAGCCTTCACCCCCTATATCATTGTCACCTGGTAAGTAAACATGCTGAAGAATAAGTTTAAGCAAAGAAAACGTTAACAATTAAATTTATTACTTTGATAAATTCAGTTGAGTGTCCGTAAATTCCATGAAATCTAGCTTTGTAAGTATCAAATTCTTTTTGAGTGGCAGTTGAGCCTTCATCGAATAAATCACCAAGAAATATAACTACATGTGGGTTAACAAAATCAAAAGCTATATTGTAAGTTTTTAATAAGTACCTAAAAAAAGAAGATGAATTAAACAATTTTTGAAAATAAATTATTTACCAATCGCTATCAAATATCGCCAAACCAGTTAATGGATGTATAATTTCGTTTTGAAGACCAATTAATTGGGGATCAGCCACCAAAAGAATTCGCAAGCACTTGTTACCATCTACACATTCTAATTTATTAAAGTTGTACTTGGATACCTTGTATAAATACACCTCAAAAATATAATACATAGCAAAAATCACCGTTATTATAAGTACATATTTATTAAAAACCAGTCTCCTAAAACAGAAAGCTTTATAATTATCCTACCAAAAAAATCTTTTACATACTTTCGTGGACGTGTCATTATTTTGATTTCTATTAAATCATTTATGTATTAAATGAAGAATAATCGATTAATTAATAATACAAATAATAAAGAAACCGATTTGTTATGCAATTCATCCAAACATGATTGAAATGTTTTTCAACATAATTTGACATTTAAATGGCATTTTGACATTTCAAAACATCAAAACAAATCATCTATTAAAAATTTTGAATTTATAATAATTATAGTTTACTTGAAAAATATAAAAACTAAATTAATATTAATTATTTAAGTAAATCAAATATTTAAGAAGCAATAATCACACTCTATATATAAAAAATGTTAGGTTAAAATCAACTAACTTCACATTATACGTGAAACGTCAAGTGTCAAAATAGAGTTATTTGTGAGTTTATTGTGAGGAAAATCGCCTAGGCAATATTTTAACGTGTCAATACCTGTATTACAGGCAAGGTGGTTACTTAAACATGTTTAATTAGAATTAATGAACGCGATTCTATTGGAACGCGTCAAAGTTCGCGGTTGTGTATCAAGATCGATGCCCGATGTTCGTTTACCAAATTTCGTACGGCAGAAATCGTTTAAATTTGCGCTAGGAATACACACTGAGACAGTCGGTTTTCTAAGCGCTCGTTAGAATGTAAAGGCAACGAAACAGTGAACGGATTAATTCGCTGAATTAAGTTCAATTGGAAGAGTTCATGTTCGATCTCAAATTTAAGAAAAATAATCTAAGAAAATGACGACCATCACCATGGAAGAGTACGAGCTTATGAAAGATTCGAAATATAGGATGTATGTTGCAGCTGTTGATAAAGCACTGAAAACTTTTGAATTGTCTTCGGAATGGGCCGATTTAATTGCCGCACTTGGTAAATTAAATAAGGTAAGGGTGGTTTTATTTTCGTTCATTAATTAAAAATAATCGTTGGTTTAAGTATTTAAGAAGAAAAGTTTCAAGGTGATTATATTGATTTTGTTATGGTGTAACAAATTTCATTATGTCTTGTTTATTTTGAAACCTCAATCTGTTTTTACAACCTTTTATATTTGTCTTAGCATTTGTGAAACAGCAAGAAGATAAGTTTTTAATTCCCATTAAAGTTATCTGTTTAAATCACATGCGTTTTAGATGTTAATGATTTTTACAAAATCTGTCTTTAAATATTTACGTTTTCCATATCTGTTGTTTAAAACATTTGATACTCATAGGTTAAAGTGAGTGTAAATTTAATTGGATTTCATTTTAACATGTACATAATGTTATGTATTTTTTAGCACATTGTTCAAAACATTTTGTTTCAGCAACCTATTATGGCTAATAAAAGTTATTTATTTTGTCATGGAGAATAGCATAATTATGAAAAAAATATCTGTTTATTTAAAAAAAGCTTACTGGGGGAAGAGACTCCTACAAAGATATCTAGTGATTTTATTTTTAGTGATTTATTTAGTGATTCTTAAAGAAAGTTATTATTATGGCTACTGTTAGGTGATACAATATATGAAATTGATGCTGTGCTTGTATGGCAAGTTTTTTTCCAGACAATATCCTCCACTAAGAATAAGTTAAGTTCATGTACTTGCATCATTCTTCTTCACTTGTTTTCGTTTTGTTTTTCAAGAGATTTTGTTTCATGTGTTTTACTTTATGGAAGTTTGTTCAGTATCAATTGATTCACAATTTCGTTATCCATCTGTTGGTATTATTTGCTAACAACACATAGTATAAATAGATCTGGACGCGAATTACAATTGCATTGTGTAAACGCAATGTGCAAGTTAGTCAGTTATTCATGTGTCTGCTACATCACCCAAATTTTATTTTATAGTCCACTGGCCTTTCCCCTCCAAGTCCTTAGGACTGCATCTCGTTTTTCGCGCTCTTAAAGTAGCACTCAGTGGCCTTAAGTAAACAAACTGTAAAAGTCTCTGTTATTTTCTTACATATTTGAGATGCCAACAAGATGGAATACATACAATGAAGTAAAATTTATCAACAAAGAAGAAAAATCTTATGGAATATTTTTGGTGCTATATTATGTAAACAAAGTGATAATATTTTCGTGATCTGTTGTTCCAATTACACAACCAATTGTGCAATGTTTTTTGTTCATGATTTTATCGCGTATATTCAAATCAGTTCAGTAATTAATGATCTTTATTTATTGTTGTTCTAAAACTTTGCCAGCACCATCTGCGTTGCGTCCATAGCCTATATCTGTATAGCTAAAGCAGTAATAATGATCCATTACCATAAGAAGAGCACCACTGTCAGTACCCTTGTAATTGTAGTATTCATTGCCAGAGTTCGATGTTGCTTGAATTACAATGTGTTTTCCATATATTGTGTCACAACATCTTGGAGAATTTCATTCAACGCGGAACCCCAACTGTAACTTATATTATAAATCTATTTCTAAGAAACAAGTGAATTATTGGAAATCTTAGCAATGCTGATTATATTTGTCTAAAAAGCTGGTCTTAGCAGTTGTAGAAACGGAAACCAAATAAAATCAAACTAGTTGTTAATAATAAATCGACTAGACAGTTCAGATGGGAAATGATCCTAAAATATTTTCTAATTAAACTTTTTGATACATCTCAAATTTACATCACAAATTAATTCACAATCAATACAAGATTTTATTTTTTGTATTGAGTAGTCAGAAGTCTTAAATGTAGCATCTGTGGTTTAAAAATAGATCCAACTCCACGTTAATTAAACAAACAACTATTATTTGTTACGCCTTTCTAAATAAATCATTCGTACTGCGACTGAAAATTTAACTCTATTTTTGTATGTACTTCGTTTGAATAGATGATAATAATATAGGACAGAAAAGAAGAATGACAACAAATTTAATACAGATGCGTTATCTAAAACTTTGTTTGAATTAAAGTAACGTAATTTTTTTTACGAAATAAATACAACTTGTGGTTCTGTAATAATCTTTTCCCAAACGCAACCCGCGTACTTCCGCTCATTTACTTCCGCTCATTAACTTCCGCTTTTAATTTCCAGTTCATTTAATTGTTTAATAAACGAATTGTTTCAATGAGTTTTTTACGTCAATTTGTGTTATCTCAAAAATGAGGTACAATAATTTCACAATTGATCCAGGTGATTCATATAATTGGAGAAAAAAAAATTTGTTTCAAACATATTTTTCGTATCAGTGAAAACCGTTACTTAAAAAACGAATTGGGTTGTTTACTTCACGAATGATTTGAAACGTTTTGATTATGAGTAATGCGAGATACACAATAATAACGTATATTGTAAACTATATACACTTGTAAATTATTTATCTAAATGCTTTTTTTTCTTTGTTATGTTTTTAGAATAATGTTTTGAAGTCCAATGTTTATTTTCTTAGGTTTTGTTAAGTTATACAAAATTTCCCGTAATTCCTCGTCGGATTAAAATCAGCAAACGTTTAGCACAATGTATGCATCCGGCGTTACCTTCTGGAGTTCATCTGAAAGCTTTAGAAACTTACGACATCATCTTCAAATCTATGGGAACCAACAGATTATCTTTGGAACTTTTCATTTACAGTGCAGGTAAGATCAATTAATTTTTTGTAAACAATTCCGGATAAGTAATTGACGTAAAGGAGGCACTTCAAGTTGTTAAGAGCGGATGTTTGTTGTAAGTTGTAACATGTAATCTTATCAAATTTCAAGGTAAATTGTTTCTAAATTTTGAAATGTGAACTAAAATTTTAATAAAATCATCTTCACAAACTTAAAAATTTTACAAAAAAAAACTTAACATTATCAACTGCTTCCAACTGTATTAAAACAAATTCCAAAATAAACGAATGGGATTAATTGGGTGAAAGGAAGATAAAACACGTATACAAAACAGTGATAAAGCTACTCATTACCTGGAATTTCTATTTTTACTCGGGTTTTGTAAAAAAAAATTGTTAACATACTTTTAACATTAGAAAATTGCATACAATAAAACTTAAAATGTTTTTAAACTTTGTTTAATTAAACTTTTTTGTAATGCTTTCAATTTTTGCTTAGATATTGATTATTTGTATTTTTTTATAGGTTTATTTCCATTACTAGGCCATGCAGCGATGAATATAAGACCGTCACTTTTAAACGTTTATGATACACATTTTGTTCCATTGAGAGAACGATTACGACCTGCTTTAAGCGGATTTCTAAGCGGCGTTTTACCCGGTTTAGAAACTGGGTCCGATTATTTCGACAGGTAAAGTTAAAATTAACTAATTTTCAACTTTTGTTCTTATCAAGAGAGAAAATAATTAACTTTATTATACATAAAAGTACTGTTTTATTCAATTTAGAGTTTACGGAATGTTTACTTTTGTCATCTTGATTACTAACTTGTTTTATCACCTATAAACGTTCTCGTTTTATCGCACGTTTACTCAATATGGGGTCATGGTTATAAAGATTTAATGGGTTTTAATGGATTTGTTTTGTCTAACTGGATTATATTTTCTCATGCATATATATTTCTCTATTCCATGTTTATAGATAAACTTAGGGTATTCCCTGAGTTACAAATCAAGGACAGTAGTTCTAGTTTTAAATGTTATTCAGAGATAGATTGTTGTATATTTTTATTGAACAAAAAGTAGAACTAACGCTAGATCTACAACTAGAAACATTCGGGTTTATCCGTCTTAAGAGACGCACGCTTAAACTCGATCTAGATCCTTATTTTATATTATGAACCTTAACCTTCAAATAAACAACATTACAAAGCATGAATAGAATAAATTAAGCTTTTGCTAATTCACATCACGAACGGGTATTCGAGCTGTGCACCTGTTCCTGGGATGTGGCAATCCTCTTAGATTCTACCATAATGTCAAGCCATGTAGACTGAACGCAACAGAGTGGATAGCTGTCCGAATTTGTATGCGTTAAAATTATTCATTCAAACTATAATGGACACTCCTTTCCCCTTATTAAGCCGTTATGTCGAGGTTTTACTGTATTTGAATTTGACATAAAATATTTGATACATTATTGTGTAATTAATAACATATAATTTTACAGAACAAATACATTACTAGAAAACGTATGTGAAGGAGTTGGTCCATCATGGTTCTACACATGTATTTGGCAATGCGTAAAAAGTAACAGTCCGGTAAGATTACCAGCAATAAGCTACGTTCTTTCACATTATAGTCGTAAAGTTTCAATGGAAGATCAGTTATATTTAATGGGAAATGATATAGATGTTATGGTTTCCGGACTATGTGCTGCCGTTTATGATTCAAGTATTCTCGTTCAAAGATCGGCTTTAGATCTTTTAATGGTGTGCTTCCCAATGAATAACACTCAATTACTTTATGCCGACATGGTTCGTTTGGTTATGGCTGCGTTAACAACGATTTTACGAAGAGATATGTCCTTAAATCGGCGATTGTACTCTTGGTTATTATGTGCGGATGTAAACGCACATATGAGTATAATAGATACGGAAGAAACGGAAATAAGCGAAACGCAAAATAACTCGATTGCTTATGATCTTATGTTGGAAGCTTTAAAAATTATTTTAAAAGAAAAAAGCACCGAACAGAGCATTAATGTAGTTCCGTATCGATTGTTGACATCGCTTTTTGAAAAACCCCAAATTGGGCCGGTTATTTTGGACCACATTTTATACGAAGTATTTCGATCTCTTTACTTAACGTGTCTTCATCAACAAAAACAAAGAAACGCAAGTGTTAGATGCGTATCGTTTAACGGAGACTTAACTAGCTTAAAACAAAGGGAAGAAACGACTTTAACCAAACAATTTATTACTAAGTATTGTCAAGAGTTGGTTAAAAATGCCAACTTATTATTTGCAACGTTACAACCTTATTACATTTGGGCGTATCTCGAGAAATGTTTTGAAAAGGCAGCTATAAATCTAAAGAACGTTACTAGAAATAAATTGGCGGTGAATGATATCGGATCAGGTGAACCATGTCTCGTAGAAATTTGTATTTTATCGGAATTTCTGTTAGATATAATTCCTATTGAAATTTACGATGAGAACACGCACGATATCTTACCGAGTTTGTTTATGAAAATCTTGGTCGTTTTGGAGAGAAACATTGAAATTTTAAATCGAAATGAGATCACAACAAGTTTACAGTTATGTACAAAAATTTTAATGAAAATTCAGCCAATTACAGTAAAACAACCTCTCATAAAACCAGAAGTTGATGTTAAGGTATAAAAGTAAATTAAAAAAGCAATTAGTTTTTCTATAAAATATTTCTTTTTCTTTAGCTAGTAGAAGAAATACATGCAGACAGTGTTGATTCATCAACAACTTCAGAAAAAGATAAAGAAATAAAACCGGGTTTAGAAAAAAGTAAATCTGATTCGAAAATAAATGAAAATCTAAACAAAAACGAATTAAGCGTTGAGGATAAAGCGCGCGAACGATCGAACAGCAATCAAATGTCCAAGAAAAAAGATAAAAACAGTCCGAAAATAGATAAAAAATCTAAAAACAAAAAATCGAAATCTAGCTCGAAATTATACGAATTAAAAAAAGACGAAGATGAAGAAAAATCCTCTGAAAACGTCCTCGAATTTGTGGAAAACGTTTTAGTTGTCGAACAACAACTTCCAGAAACACCAACAATTGAAAATAATATTAAATTCGAAAATAAACACATTATTTCTTGTTGGCAAATCTATAAAGATTTTTTCGTCACGTTCATTCGCCATAAAATCATATCTGGATTGTGCGTCGAATCGCATTTTAACACCCTAATTTGCGACAAAGAAAACCGCACCAAACACCTTGAAGCGATTTTAACGAAATGCTTAGAATCCTACACTTCAATGAATCGTCACGATTTTTCATGCACCTCCACCGAAGTTGAATATAAATACGACAACTTAAGCAATGGGTCTGAATACGACGAAGCGATGACGGTTGCGTGTAATATTTTATTGGAATTCGCGGCTTTTCCAAATATGTTGAATAATGCAGAGCAAGAAACCAACATTCCTTTTTGGTTGAAAGTGTTGATCGCTAGCGCATGTACTAGAAAAGCTTGTAAAGATGTTCAGTTAATCGCTATGAACGCTTTATTGGAGATTTTTAGTTTGGCAAAGAGTCAACATTATCAAAAGAAACAAGAAGAAGGAAATACTAATGTTATTATTACCGGTATTTTGGAAAGTGCACATGTTAATTATATTGAAGAAAATACGTTGGTGCTAAAGGTAATTTATACAATTTGATTATAAGATTTTTGTTGTACAATAATATTGTTGAGTTCTCCAACTAACGGGATTTCCAATAGGAACATAACAATTTTATTTTAATATTAGTCAGTGAAAGTTAATATTTTTATCATAGTGAAGTTCATGAACTAGCAATTTGTGGTAGTACTAATCCTACCAGATAGGCTGTGCTGTGTATAGTATAGTGGGTAAATTTGAGTCGAGATATTCACTATTGGCTGTTGTGCAAGTAAGACAACACACTCATATCGAGTATATAGCAGACCTAAATGCTCTGTCAAACCATATTAAGAACTGATGCAAACTGTGCAAAAAATCCTGAATCTTATTGAAAAATCATTTTCAGCGATGAAGCTCATTTTTGGCTTAATAAATTTGTCAATTAGCAAAATATAAATTATTGAATAGCAACAAACTCAGATCTACTTCAAAAGACTCCATTACAACCAAAAAATGACCTTATGGTGTCGATTTCATGCCTAAGATGTGATTGGATCACATTTTTTCGTCGTTTAAAATAATCGCCATGTTGCTATTCTTGGGCAGAAATGAATGTATTTAACATAAGTAATATATTATGTGGTTCCAGTAAGATAGACAACGCAAGCTGTTTAGCAGCTTGGCCTTAGAGAGAAAGATCTTCCTCAAGTTGAAGCGCCATATCGACTCTACTAGGATCTTGATTAGGACAGAACAAGCACTAATACGTGACAGAATTCACAAGGATTTTAAAGGTTGCAGCAAATAAACTACGACTCCACTTCGCACTTTCCAATTCTATGCTTAGAGAAGACTGGGACAAAACATACAGAATAACCATAGAAAAGGCCGAACGCGACAAGCAAAAGTTTTTAGTTCCAAACGTGCTAGTGTTGGTCTTAGGAACAATATCGAATTCCATAACTAAATTTAAGATGTCTACTACATTTGGACTACATTTCAATCCAATATTTCAATTATTCTGTGTTTTAGTTGAATATAAAATTGTTATGTTCTTATTGAAAACATTACAGCAGTTTTAAGTGCTCTCTTTGGCTAAGAACTGTATTTATCTGTGGCTTAAATGGAACTAATTAAATCATAATTTTTGTTTAACTTTTAGGTCATGTGTGAAATATTATGGTGGTTATTAGGAACCCTTTCAAACCAAAACCAAATCATGCTGTGTGTAACATTACTTTATCAATTACACAACATTTTCAATAAAAAATCAATCGTCGAAGATGTAATAGGTCATTATTTAATTGATGAAAATTTAAACACAGAACATTTAAAAAAATTCACGCTGCTTCTTCATCTTGGTAGAGATTTAAACATAAAACTTCCAGCTTATCAATGTACAGTTCGAAATTTTGATAAGTAAGTGATTTAATTATTTTTTTATTTTATTAATAATTTATTTTTAAAGGTGTCTTCTGAAAATTTTTGATAACTTACAAAACACAGAAAACGCCAACATAAAATTATTAGCTGAAACATTTTTGACTCACAGTTTATTAAGAAACGATATGGCACGAATTTTAAACCCAATTTTATTGAAATTGTTGGCTCCAAGTACGTCTCGAATTTCAATACAAAAAATTAGCATACAAGACTCAGAATTACAAGCAAATAACGGCGATAAAGATTCAAATAAAATTGATGATGCTAAAGCGAAAAAAATTTTTGCGATAAGTAACGTAAACGGGAACGTAATGTATCATGTAACGGACACGCCAAGTCCGAAACCACAAAAACGAAAATGGTACTTATTTAATAAAGGATTTAAAAAATATAATCAAGTTATAAATACAACAACTTCAATATCAGAAAATTCTAGTGTTATCACAAAGAAAAGTAAAGAATATAAGCATTTTGAAGTTACTTCAGTGTCAGATAAAAATAGAAATAACGTTAAATTGTTTATAAATCCTTTAAGTTCCAAAGAAATTTATCCCAATGGAATTGATGGATCTTACGTTCAACTTGATCCACACAATTCACAAGAATCCTCAAATGAAAGCTTGTCAAGTCCTGATTTAACCCAATCTAGTAATGAAGATTCTTTATTAAGCAAACAATATGAACACCAAACATCTCGAACGAGCGAATCAAGTAAAAATATTTTAGAACATATTGAAACAATTTCCAATGGTGTTAAAGATTCAAAACCGACAAACAAATTATCAAAATCACAAAGTTTTGATGAAAAAGCTAATGAGAAATTAGTTGAAATTGAAAACTTATCCTTAGTTCATAGTTGGTCTTATAGCATATCAGATTCAGATAATTTAAACGCCGAATTAGAAATGAGTACTTCAGCTGAAGATTTCTTTAAGGATTCTGATAATAAAGTTGTGAAAGATGTTTTAAATGAGATATTAATTAAAGTTTGTGGTGAAGAAGAAGAAATTTGTGATTCTCCCAATACAAGGAGATCTTTTGATGCTGAGATAAGAAACAGTGATTGTTACAAAAATGTTTGTTTATATCCCATGCATCAACATATGTGCTTATATTGCGAAATATTTGACCTAAATCATATTTTATACGCACTAAAAACTTTAAAAAATTGCCTCGTCGCAAATCCACAACTTTTTATTAAATGTTTAGCAACAACTGGTTTAAAAGATTTAAACAACAACGAAATTTTAATATTACTAGCACGTCATTATAAATCTACACTAGGTTTAAATTTTTCTGGTGATTTAAATCAAGAATATTTAAATACTTATAGAGGCTACATGTTTTTGGATGTTGTTATAATAATTTGTTTAAATTATGCGAGATCTTTCTTTTGGGATCCAATTATTAGCGAAGAAGAAATTTATAATAATTTACAAATTCAATTAAAAAGTTTAGAAATTTTAGATTTAATTGTAAAAAACTTGATTACTATTGTGAGCGAAAACAGGAAAGGTTTTGCTGTTTACATAGCTGATATGTTATTGAAATGTAAATTACAAGGAGTTGTTCTACATTGTTTACTTACATCCGTAAGAAATTTTGATAAAGAAATGACATTTGCGGAAGAAGTACTTTTATTTAATAATTTTAAGTTATACGATTCACATAAAAAAGTTTCTGAACACGTCGAAGCATTTCAAATTCAACTATTAAGATTAATCCAATCGTTAATTATACTTGAATATCAAGTATTCTCCATGCACGAGGCCGCTGCTAATATCCAACAAACTATTGTACCAAATTCTGGAGATAATTCAACTTATTCCCCAACGATTTTAATTCCACAACAAAATATGTTTTTGTCGGCAGTTTTAAGTGCTCTTAGACATAAAAATATGAAGAATTTACATCAAAATTGGTGCAATATGATCACATCTTGCCTTCCATATTTTGGCGATAATCTAAAACAAATTTGCACCAGCGTTATACACAATATTTGTAACAACATAGAAATTATCGCCGACACTTACAAAAATACAGAATTACCCGGAGAATTAAGCGCCGATTACGCAACAACCCAATTAGAATCTCTAACCATCTTGTGTCATTATTGTTTATTGGATTCTTCGCAAACCGTTAACCAAAACATCCCCGCAAACATGAATACACAAGTTACGAATTCATCGGAAATATTCAATAATTTAATGAACGTTTTCTTTTCGCCGATCGGACTCGATAGTACTTTTAGTAAACAAAACACCGATTCTTATCAAAACGTAAGAAAAGTTATTCTAAGTCATATGCCAAGAATTATTGCAAGCGTCGCTAAATTATGGCAAACAATTGTTGGTATTGAAGGAAATTATTATGGAATTTATGGAAATTCTAAAGTTGTTAGACAACAGTTAATGGAATTTTTAAGTCCTATTTCTATTCATCATAGTGCTAGTTTTTTGGCTGCGGTTGCTGTTGCTTGGCATGAAAGGCGAAATCCATTTTCTAACGTTAAAACTGTAAGTAAACAACAGTTATTTTAAACATAATTTGCAGTGCCGGATTAAACCGCTTATGCCCGATTTAATTTTTTTTAGATTTTTTTGTTTCCAGTGTCATTTTGGTGCAGCATTATTTTTAAGAAAATACTATTTTGTCATAGTTTTTTTGAATGTTCCATTCATGAAACATTGGGTATAAACGGGACCATATACTTTCTCAATCAAATCAACATATATTGTCCATTATCTTGTGTGGAAGTGAACAAAACAGGATTCATGCAGATTGACTTTACATTTTTGACAAGACTATCTCGTGTTTCTTTTTTACAGAAAGCACAGCGATTTTCTTCCGTGGACAATCCAGTGGTTGCTTTCTTCAAATCGCACTTGGGTTGGCACTCTGAAAGCCAATTTATGGGATGAACTTCTTCCTCCCACCGGGGGAATACCATATTTTTGTAAATACGTTTGCACAACTATTCGAAAATGCAAATAATCCATTTTTTACCCAAGTCCTTTTTTATATAGTTGCCATCCGTTGTACACTGAAATATAGACACAAAACGCAAAAATTGCCAACCACCATTTCTTCGATCTAATGGAAATCCTGTTCTTATCCATCCTCTCTACACCGCCCATAAATTTATTGTATTGAGCTATTACATGACGTTACGCAACTGGCAACCTTTTTTTCTGTTTTGATATCCATCTTTCCACTCTACCATTTTTCTCCGTGCTTAATCAAAGTATGGAACCATACTTTCATCAACACTCAGCCTTTCTTAGAGTTCTGAGTATTTCAAAAATTTTGAATTCAGCATTTGCATCAATTCTCTTAGTTTTGCAAATTTGTCGCCCGGAGGAAGGTTATTATTATCTGCACAGTGAAGATATCTTTTTATCATTTCGAATCTATTTCTTCTCATACACTTCATTAGTGCCATATCGCAAGATTCAGTTCTTAGCTTCCACCACATTCTTCAGCATTGGAAACTCGGAAATTAAGTTCACCTTTTGCTGTGCATATAACGTCGTCATTTCTGTCAAAAATGATATAATACTATCATCAAAAAAAAGCTCAAACCATTCCACTAGATCAGAAGAAATGGCTGCTGATTGCATTAGTTTCTCAAAGTTTGGAAACCCAAAAATAAGATAGGATTTTTGCCAGTTTCTTTTTTTCAGTAACTTCTTTTGTATTTCTGACAAAAGTTCGTTGATTTGACTCTTCGTCAGTGTCGCTATCACCAATTGTAAAAGTCCGTCCTTGATTTGTAATTTTTTCCATAGCTTCCATTTGAAGCTGTCTACCATCCAGTTATTGATGTCGTTGCAGAAGTCTTCATTGCCGCTATCTTTAGCACTTTCAGCACCATCATCTAGACTCTAGAGGAGTGACAAAATCATCAGCAGCGTAAAAATGCTCGTCTTCTATTACTTGAATAAGTTCAGCAGTTATGAGGGGTCTGAAATTATTAAAAATCTTTATGGACCCGTTTAGCCCATAGTTCTAATATTGGAAGTTTTGGGAAAAAGTGTTTTTTTTTTGTACTTTTTGTCTTATTTGTACTTATGTTGGATAATCCGGCACTAACTATTTATTTTATAGATTAATTCAAATTTAACTTTTAGATTTTAGTTGAACCAAATTCAAGCCAAAATAACTTGGTTTATTTAATATCTGCGATACGTGTGATTCCATTAGATAATCTCGTTCAGACTGTTATAGCCGTGATAAAAAACCCTCCGCCCATTGAAGGACTCAGTTCAGATGTTTTATTGGACGTGTGTGTTTTAGAATTATTTTATTGGTAATTTATAAATAATTATTACAAAATACAAATAAATTTAAATTATTTTTTTAAAATAGTTATATGAGAAATGCTTCCACAACGCAATTATCTGAAGCTTGGGGTTCCTTATTAACATTAATTAGAGAAGGTTGTTCGTTGGGTCCACAATCGCAATTTTTAGTGGCCGCTATTCTAAATGAAATTATGATTAAGTGTTGTCCGTTAGAAGAACGTAAAGATCAAAAAGATTTGCAAGATGTCACAGCGAAAGTAATTTTTTAAACTTAGAAATGAATTAATAAGAATATATTTTATTTTTATAGCTAATTGAATGCGTTTCACAAGTTTGTGGTTCATGTTTAGAACAAACAACGTGGTTAAGAAGAAATTTAGCGGTTCGTGAACAAGATGAAGATAGTATATCATCAGTAAGCGTTGTAACAACGAGTAATTCAGATATTTTAATGGGACTTAATAACAATTATAGTGTTCAAGCACAATTAGTAATTATTAAAACGCTTCTTTTTAATTCTTTCAATTTTTATGTTCTTTTTTTTAAGGTTTTATCAGAAATATTAGCTCCAATTTTAGATATTTGTTTTGGTTCGTCAGAAAAAGATAAAGTAAACACAATTTTAACGTCACTAATGTGCAATATAGTTCCGTACCTGAAAACGCACACTGTCCGTAACATGCCTAGTTTTAACGCGTGCTCCAAGCTTTTATCGAGTCTCAGCAGTTACCAATATACAAGGAAAGCGTGGAAAAAAGACGTTTTTGATCTCGTTTTAGACAATAATTTATTTCAAATGGATTATTCTTGTTTGAAATATTGGAAGATTATCGTTGATCATTTAATGACTCACGATAACACAACGTTTAAAGATTTAATGAGTCAGTTTTTTTTAAATAAATGATTTTTGCAGTTAAGTGTGTATTATTGTTTAGGTCGCGTATCGATGACACAAAGTGGAAGCTTGAGCTTATTTTCTTCGAGAGAACAAGAACTTGAACAGCGAGCGCAACTTCTTAAAAGATTGGCTTTTGTGATATTTTGTAGTGAAACGGATCAATATGCAAAATATATGCCAGATATACAAGGTATACATATTACATTTATGTCATTTTTTAAATTTAATTTTGTATTGATTATTTTTTAGAACAATTAACAAGCAGTTTAAGATTAAACGTCCCGAATGTACAAGCCCAAGTATTTCTTTGCTTTAGAGTTTTATTACTTAGAATGTCACCTCTTCAAATTACTTCATTATGGCCCATAATTATTAGCGAGATGTTACAGGTTTTTATACAGATTGAGCAACAACTTAGCACGGAAACTGATGAATTTAGGTATGTTACAAATTAAAAATTATTATTGAATTGGGTTAATTAACACTTTTTTTATTTGGCTTTTTCAATAACTAACCTCAATATTATGTTTTATTGTTGTATTGAATAACACATTTTTCTCTTTGTGCTTTTGGGAACTGGTTTCTGCTAATACAGGAATAATACCAGGTAAAGTTACATAATCAGTGTAAATTAAATTTAAAAATATTATTAGTTATGCAACCGATTATAATTAACTTCATTATGAATATAATAAATAATTTATTTCAGTTCACACCTAAAACTTCTCTCTACATTAGACCCAAGTTGGGCTACAAACTCCAACAATGGTTTACACGCATTTGGAAACCCACACTGGTTACAACTACAATTATCAACAGCAAAATTATTAGATTTAACACTTTTATTACCCGCAACAGCATTACCTCAATTTCAAATGTAACTAAATAATCCCTTATTAACCCATAACTTATTAATTTAATTTTTAGGTATCGTTGGGCTTTTGTAGAAGACGATATATCTCAAGTAACACACCAAGGCGATGGTAGAAAATCAAATTTCACGCCACACGTAACAAGAATATCGAATTTAATGGATGAGAAATTTAAAGATTTGCCCATAGAGACCATGCCTACAAAACAAAACGAGTTATTATTAACGGTAAATAATATCACCCAATTAAAAGAGTTGCATCCGTTCTTTAAGACGCTCAGTTTGTGCTCGAATCGCCATCGGACCGATTGTAACGGAATCATTTGCATGGAACAATGGACAAATAAGACTGAGCACAAAAAAATGCAGAGTATTTTGGAAAAAATCGATCGCATTATCGAAAATGACTTTTTAGATAAAATACCTCGATAAATAAGTATCTAATATGAATTTGTTGTTGTTTCGATGGTGTTTTTGTATGAGATGAATTGATATTAAGTGAAAGAATTTTTCAAAATTATTTAAGAAATGTTTTTAAAGATTTTAATTAAGTAGATGGAAAATATTCTGGAATCACCAAGTAGACTTCTGATAAACCGACATGTTTGGGACTTTACTGGTGCTAGATTACTAGAAATACCGGATTATTGGGCGAGATTTCCCACAATTATAAAATGATAAGACATATAGCAGTTACATTGTCAAGATGACGTTTTGTGGCTAATATGGATTGAAGAAATAAGAATTTGCAAACTCGAAGAAAAGTTGAAATCGAATGTATTTTATATTCCAGAGTATAGCATCATTAATTAACAACAAAAGGTTAAAAAAATCACTGATGTTCTTTTGCTTCCTTAAATCTATAATCTAAATTAATAATTTTAACTAGAGTTTGTTTCAGCAAATATTATAAACTTCGATGGTGCGTCGGTCGCCTCTTTCCAGCTGATTTGCACCATTCCTACGTCCGAATTTTGCTCTTCAACATTCACTGTTTTAGGATCAATAACACTTTGTAGAATAACTTCATCCGTTAGTTCTTGCTCAGTTGGTTCGTTCTTATCAATTTCTGCAGATTCCTCTTCAGGTATATTTTGATATTGTCTTTAACCTAGATTTAAAGATCCACCAGTTTCGACGACTGCGTTTGGTCTTAGCTTCCTCCAACAGCATTGTAAAGTGACTTCTTTTACTAGAGATTAAGAAACTATGCTAGCATATATGGCATGTTTGACATTATATCTCTGTTAAAAGTCAGTCCGTCATAATCAGACTTTAATATGTCCTGAAGAAAGGATCTTCTATAAAAACATTTAATGTTGGAAATGTGTGGAAGAAATAGTTGATTGGATCAATGAGGTAAAATTTGGAGGCAAAAATGTTGCAAATATGTTGTCAGAAAAAAACTCTGTTATTGGTGAAGGTATCCAAGAAGAGGAGGGCTTTGCTGTCTTCTGGCAGTTTAAGTTTTTTGAAGTTATTCTCGACCTGTGGGACAAAGTAGTGTAAAAACCTATCTTTAAATACTCTGTAGTCTATACCACCAGAAGTGAGAGTGACTCATCGCGTGAAAACGTATGAACACACGTCAACTTATTGGCGTTATCTGTACCGTATTCGTGGGCATTTCATTGGGCATCGTAAAGAACAGACAGAGATATAATTTTTTTTAAAAGTCATGTTAGTCTTTGTTGTTCTTAAAACTCTTAAGGTGCTTTTTGTGCGAGAGAGATTGGGAGATTTGGTTAAACGGAAATTCGTCGAATTGGCTGATAACGATCACGTGACGTCGGTACGTTTGGGATAAATCTCCGTTTCTCCAAATACCCGAAAGTTGGTTGAAGTTTATGTTTTGCCGGTAAAATGTACTCTGCTACATAACCTTACCTAACCACAGGAACGCCGTATCACCAAAAAACCCTGCACAGTAAATAGGTTTCGTTACAGTGTCAAATCTCTCAATACCGACTTTATATCGATCTATAGATCTCTATATCAAATCTTTAATTATTTTTCTTTAAATTTTTTTGTCTTGTTACTGGCTTCTCTTCGGCACGTTTTGCACTAAAACATTTATTTATACAAGATGCTGTCCAGTTGTTCCAGCTTAGGTTTTTCAAGAGTTTGCCTAGAAACAACTTTTTAGATACAAATTAGGAAACAAAATGCGGTTATCTTTTTTTTTTTAATGTCATAAATAGGTGATGACTGATGACAGTGATGACCCAATATTAAATTCATTCATCAAAACATTTCTGATTAATGGTGAACTTATTTTTTTTTCTGTCCAGACTTTTTATTACTTGGCATTTTAGAAAACATGATAAACGAAAACTCACAAATCAGTACAATGTACACGCAACACTTTAACTTTTTTACTTCAATTTATTCAATACAATACACAATTAATTAAACAGCAATACATAAAAAAAATGGCACTCTTCGCTACGCAGCAATCAGCTTGAGCAAACAACCTTAAAGAAAGTGCTGGATTATGTGGGCTATTGGATGCCGAATTAACGGAAGTCAACTGTATATCATAGATGTAACAAATTACTTTTAACACTATACAAATCTTTACAAACATTTAAAACCTACTTATTTCAAAAATTCTTTCACTTAATTTTAATTTATTAATACAATTTGAATTTTTGCAAATTGCATTGGGTTTGTAAATCAGTATCTTTATAAAAGTAATTAAACAAAAAAAAAGTAATTATATGGTTGTTCTTGTGCTGATAAAAATGTAAAGGTAAATCAGTATTAAGATGCATTTGCGTAATGTGTATCAATGTTCAATTAAAATTTCATTTATTATTACAGCTTATTACAAGCGATTATTTATAATTTCTTTTTGAAGTAACTATTTATAGTGGCTATTTAGACAAGAACGTAGAAAAAGTAAAATCGTTGTTCTTTCACAAAAGATAAAATCACCATGCTTAAAATGTAGATAACTTGAAGATCTTTTAAAGAAAATTTGAAGCACAATAATATGTAGGTTGTATTATAAAATCTTTTTCTGCAGTCTTTTGTGAAAGTTCAATATTAATATAAGAATGCAATTTACTTTTAAGGTACTTTGTTGTGTTGATATTCCCATGTTTTCCTCTCATAAAAAGATTGATTTAATGTTATTTATCTACGTTGATTTTAAATATTATTTAGCGTTTTTTAAGTTGCATACCGCTCTGTAAATAATGTAAAGGCATTTAAGAAGGAATTTGAGAAAAGAAAATGTGATTACAATTGTGATGCATATGACAAAGGCAATTTAATTGTCTACATTAGAAAAAAATGAAGAAATGTATTATATTATCTTTATGTAATATTTTCTTTAATTACACTTTGCTAAAATACTATTATTTAGCACTTTTCTTTGTGTTCTTTTTTACAAACGGACATAAATCCTTATTTAAACAACTTTCACAAAGCGGTTTAACAGGTTTACATGTTTGTTGACCAAACCCAACCAATAAGTGATTAACTTCACTCCATAATTCCTTTGGTAACCAACCCTCTAAGCCTTTTCGAGTTTCTTCTGGTGTTTTTGTTTTAACCCAACCTAATCTATTGGTGATTCTATGCACGTGTGTATCAACGCCAATTCCAGTTATTTCATTCCATGCTGTTTTCATGCATAAATGTGCCATTTTTGGCCCAACCCCAGGAAGTTTACATAATTCTTCAACTGTTTTTGGAATATCACCATTAAAGACATCTTTAATCATTTGAGTTGATTTTTTTATATATTTAGCTTTGTTCTAAAATGTTATAAGTAATTATAATTTAAAGTATCATTATTGTTTTATACACCTTATAAAAACTAACTGGATATAATAATTCACTTAATTTTTGTTCTGTAATTTCTGAAATCTTCTCAAGTGTACAACCATGTTCTCGAAGTCTTAACATAGCAGCATAAGTCACTTCATCTTTAGTTTGGCTGCTAAGCATTAATGATAAAAGTGCTTGATATCTCTTATCCTATAATTTATGTAGATTAAACAAATTAAAATAATTAAATTAATAACATTATTTACTTTAGGATCTGCTGTAGTATCAGGACATTGATCACACCCCATACTATCAACAGGAGCATCCTTATTCATCCTCATCTCCCTTAAATTATCTAAAACAACTTCCCAATTAGCAGGTCCAATTCCTTCATATTTAAGAATTTTTTTTGGAACTTCCTCATATTCAACTTTAACATGATCTCTTTTATGACTTAAACTAGGTGGTTTTTCTTTCTTAAAACTTGAAAGGGACTCGTTTTCTTTACAAGATTCTTTCAATTCTTCTTTAGGAATGTTTTGAGGTTGTTTAGGAACAGATTTTACATTCTTTGTTGTTTTGCGTTTAGGCATATCTAAAAGATGATTTTGCATAAAAATAACTTAAAGTAAATCTACGAACCGAAATTATTAATGATGTGTTGATTTAACTTCAACGAACTTCTTAGAAACTTTATATATTTGAAGTTTTGTAAAAATGTCATGGATATGTTGGTATAGGTTATGTATTTGACGGCCTGTTTTTTATGTCGCGTATGGGTAGGCAACCACTATTGCACTTTAAATTAGCAAATGCTTAATTTATTCGTTTTCTTCTTCTTTCTGTTGCCCCAATTTATACATTACGGTGTTGGGTTTTGAATCCATCTTCTCAATCTCTCCCTCCCATTGGGCTCTTGGTCTACCACGCTTTCTCTTTCCTTCTGGCCTCATCTTGAACATTTTGTTAGATATTTTATTTTCTTTCATTTGAACCAGATGACCACACCAACTTATGGATTTCCTCTATTATATTGTACCAGGGGGTTTAAACTTAGTACCTCTTGCGTAGGTACTTTATCTCTGCTGCTGTTACATTTGCTTAGTGCTTGTCCAAAATCGTCCAAGTTTCTGTTACATAATTAAGTGGGTATATACATAGATGGTTTTATATAATTGTATTTTTGCTTTATTGTTCAGTTCCCCTCTATTCTTACTTTCTTTAATTTATTCTATTTGCTTATGCTAATTGTTTATTTATCAATAACAATTAAAACTAATGCTAATACTAGTACTAGAACTAACAGTAGACCTAGAATGTTTCTAGTTCTAAGAACTGCAATTATGTCAAAAATTAAAATGCAAGATATTCTTCAAAGCATTATTATTTATTGAAAAATAACTGATTAAATACATAATGCATTTCTACAAAATATTCAGTCCTCCAATAACATTTTTTAAACTAATTCTAAACTAATTATATGTTCGTCATATTTTCAAAAGATTTTATAACAAATATAATAATACCAATATAAAATAATAGATGCAGAATATCAAGATGCTATGCTATATTTTGAAAAAGATGTTCCTTTTATATAAGAATATCGAAATAGCAACCCAAAGAGCTGTACCCCATAAATTCATGCCAAGATAGGCCGAGTGCGATTTAACATTCGGAATCCAAGCAAATGGGAAAGTATTTTTGAAAATAACGTGGCCTACGTATAAGAAAATCGGGTTCATTCCGGGATAGAAAAACGGTCTTCCCCCCCATTTCCGTTGTAGATCAACCAAAACATACAAAAACGCCTGGATTATAAACGCCATCCCACCCAAAACCAACACAAACGAAAGTGACCACAAGTTTTTGTTTATTGGAATTGCACCTCCATTCTTAGAGAAATTACAAAGAATACCACCAATTAAAGCCTAAAAAAATTAATTTAATTCTTCTAAAAACATTTTCTTCTTTTATACATACTGTTACAACTCCCCAAATTAAGAACCTAACAGTTCTTTGAAGAGGACTTGCATACATGCTAAATATTCTTCCAGCATGAATACCCATGTAAGCCAAAAATATTGAAGTAAATGTTGAAAGAAAACCTAAAAAACCAAATTAAAGTATAATTAATTCTTTAACTTTTTTATTTACCTTCTGGGTCAAAAGCTTGGGTAGTTTGATAAACAAATGTACATGTTGGTTTTTGATACATATGATTACCAAAAATCTCTCTATCAATATATCCAGCAACCCCTCCAGTACATAACTCATGTTTAGCATGATCATGAAGTCCTCCAGGACCTAAATAACCCTTACCACAACCAGGAACATTCACCAAAAATGTAATACAAGTATGAATGATAACAAAACAAGCAATAATACCCCATTGTGGGAGAGAAACACATAAATCTTGAATTAGATTAAATCTTCCAGCCTAAAAGATAAAATATTAATAAATGTTACATTAAAATGATCAATAAGTTTACCCCTTCATTAGTTTGTAAACGTTTAGCAAAAACAGATTCAATCAATCCAACAACAAGATAAGTTACTCCAATGTGCTGTAAAACTCCAGGAAATCTCAATTTTCCAATTTCAGTAACTTCACCGTGAGAATTTAATATTAACCCCAACAAAACTAACATAGCTGAACGTCTTAATACTTCAATAACTAATTGTCGACGCGGTACAGCATTTCTAAGTTTGGTAGATAAAGATATTGTGTAAGACATTCCCATTAACCAAATAAACCTAAAGATAAATTAGTTTTTTTTAATTTAAAATACAAAAATATGAAATGGAGATTAACCATGGAAAAACTAAATCAGCAACAGTTAAACCATTCCATGGTGAATGACTAAAAAACCAATATTTTCCACCTCCATAATTCACAAAAATCATAATAACAATACATATTCCTCTAAATGTATCAATAGATTTTATACGATTTGGGTGTTTTAATGGTTTTGGTGGTCTTTCAACTACCAGGGGAGCGCTATCATTTAAACTTTGGGACAACTACAAGAACAAATTAATTTCAAAAATTGGATTAAATTATTGTTTTAATTTTTACATTTTCATTTTCTGAATTGTTTGCAAAAATTGGGTATCTTTGCCAAATTGCATTATTTTTGGTACACTTATAGATGCATTTTATCATATACCAGATGGTTCCAAATAAAAAAAGGATTATAAAAGCACTTAATATCGCTGAAAATACAAAATTGTTTAATTTTTTTTTTTAAAATAGATTACTATTTTTTATTTACGAATATATGGGTTATCAGCTGACTCTTTTATGTAAATTCCTGGGCATTTAGCTGTAATATTCCAGCCGTATCGGTAATGTTCTAACAACTCAGAACTCCAACTGTAAACAAAGCGATAATGAAACAAAATACTTTAAATAAAGAAGTGAAATATATACCTGCAATTTGCTCCTTTCATATTCAAAGAAAATCTTGTATTAATAAGAATTGATACATTTTGATTAGGTTGTAAGGATGTGATATTTTGAAAATCACATCCATCACACTCCCGGTATTGTCCCGTAATTTGAACGGTTTCATTTAGGGTGTTTAGTACGTCTAAACAAGCTTCATCAAAGATAAAATCAGGGGTAGAATCTTTGCACTTATTCTTCGTGGTGAACAACATTGTGACTGCAATTCGATTTTAACAACACTTCCGTCAAAATATTTTATCGTTCACATCGCATTAAAACAGTTCATGCACGGCACTAAATCTTCGTCACTTCCAGACGCATTCCATTAAAGTACATAACAAAGGTTTATTTTGATAACAAGCTGACTCACATTTACGCTTTATTTATCTGACGTATATCACGTGATAAAAGCCATGTTCGGTTAACCAAAATAAGTTTTATTTTAGTATTTATTTAAGTTTAATTTAAGGATTTAACCATTTTTAATTAAAATTGTACAGGAAATGTTTGAATATGTTCAAACTTAGTTCAAGTATTTAAAAATAGAATTAAATTATGAAAAATATTATGTCACTTAGGTTCAATCAATCGAATCACGCTTATATCTTTTGCTTTAAAATCAAACGTCAGTAATGACAGCTTTATTAGGGATTAATTAGGCATAATATAAATAAGTGTATAATTTAAATATTTTCTATGACTAGACTTTAATGGAAGTCATAATAAAGTCATATTGCACAAAACCAAATAGAGGATGGCAACGTGATAGATAGTGGAATAAGAATACTGTTTTACCGACGTTGGCTAAACTAAAATTAAAGCTTAAAATTAATTTGAATGAGGCAGTTAGCTGCATTTGAAGACCAAATGATATGTTTTGTTTGGAGTAGAAGATATTTTCTGTTACAGGAATATCAATCTTCATGTGAATATTCAGGGATTATAAAGGTTCAACATCAAGGAACTGATTTTAAGCAAATCTAATTTTAAGAAGTTAAAGATGAGATCTTGCTAGAAATACATCGGTGGCTCAAGCAAGACATGTGCTTCAATTATAATTCAATCAGAATTGAACTCAAAATCTAACAAAATGGTTAGATTTTAATACTGTACCAATTTTTGAATCTACCTACGTTCTGAAATTGTATTTTATCTTCATATTACTTTTTTACATACTGTGGACGTAGGAGTAAATTTTTTTCAGTTGAGATTTGTTTATTAATAATAATTAATAATAAAAAACTAGACTAACAGCATTAGTTATTAAACCTATCAACAGATGTCGCACTAAAACTTAAAAAAATTAATCAAATTACAAATTATTCTTTTTTAATATTAGAATTAAATCTTTAACTAAAAAAATAATCAATATTACGCACATTAATAACTAAAAAAAGTAATAATATCTTTTTAAAAATAATAAAAAAGTGAAAAAAATAATTAAAATAGAGTTTCCAAATTTAACGATAGATGTCGTAATAAAAGTGATGTGTCGTGTTGTCAAAAGTCAAAATCGAAATGTTTCGTTCAAAAGTGCAATAACTTTGTTTATCTTCAAGCTACATAAAAAATAAACATTCAAAATGGTTTTAGCGGATTTGGGTCGTAAAATTACGACCGCGTTGCAATCGTTAACGAAGGCGACCATCATAAACGAAGAAGTAGAAAGATCCAGCTGTTGAAATTGAGGTTATGTTTAAAACACATTCACATTTTTAGGTACTAAATGGCATGCTTAAAGAAATATGCGCGGCCCTTCTCGAAGCCGACGTTAATATTCGTCTTGTTAAGAAACTACGCGAAAATGTTCGGGCTGTTATTGATTTTGATGAGATGGCCGGGGGTCTTAATAAGCGACGGATGATTCAAAGTGCAGTTTTTAAAGAATTAGTTAAAGTAAGTATGGTGTTGATTTGGATGAAGTTGTTGGAATGAAGGGGGTTATTTTAGCTTGTTGATCCTGGTGTGAAACCATATCAGCCAATAAAAGGTAAACCAAATGTTATTATGTTCGTTGGATTACAAGGTTCGGGTAAAACCACTACTTGTACTAAATTGGCTTATCATTATTTGAAGAAAAATTGGAAATCTGCTCTTGTTTGTGCCGATACATTCAGAGCGGGAGCTTATGATCAGGTTAAACAAAATTGTACAAAAGCAAGAATTCCATTTTATGGGAGGTAAATGATCCTTTTATTTTATTAGGGCATTACTTATTGATATTAATTTTATAGTTACACTGAAGTAGATCCTGTTGTTATTGCGCAAGATGGTGTGGATATGTTTAAAAAGGAAGGATTTGAAATAATTATTGTAGATACAAGTGGTAGGCATAAGCAAGAAGAATCTTTGTTTGAAGAAATGTTGGCTGTATCAAATGCAGTGGTAAGTACTCTTTTAATTGGTAATTATTGTATATTACATTTCATTAAAATTTTAGAAACCAGATAATATAATATTCGTTATGGATGCTACAATAGGTCAAGCTTGTGAATCACAAGCTAAAGCTTTTAAAGAAAAAGTTAATGTTGGTTCGGTTATCATCTCGAAATTAGATGGTCATGCAAAGGGAGGTGGAGCCCTCAGTGCAGTGGCAGCCACAAGCAGTCCTATTATCTATATAGGAACCGGTGAACACATAGATGATTTAGAACCCTTTAAAACAAAGCCTTTTGTAAGTAAATTACTTGGAATGGGAGATATCGAAGGTCTTATAGATAAGGTTAACGAATTAAAACTAGACGATAACGAAGAATTGCTTGAAAAAATCAAACACGGACAATTTACCTTAAGGGATATGTATGAACAATTTCAGAATATCATGAAAATGGGACCATTTTCACAAATTATGGTAAAAAATCACTTCTTTTTTAGGTTCACTATTTATACAGTTTTAAAATTTTGGTACATGATTATTTCTGAACCACCATTCATTCAAAAATGCTCTAAATTAGCACAATTACTCTTCAGATGCTATCAAATAGATTGTCATTCTTTGTATTACAGTATCTTATACAGGTGGTCAAAAATTTAATTACCTTTCTCTACATTTCATGGCAAGAAATTCGAAAATTTTAAATGAAACGACCCATATCTTATTAGGCTATCAGAAAGGGAATTTAATTCACTACAAATCATCTATAAACATTCCTATTTGTTGTAGTTTCCCTCATATTGGGAAATTAATTTGATTATTGGTGGTTAAACCACAATACGTCACCTAAATCATGACGTCACTGCACAGACACAGAAAAATCAGTTTTGAGTAACTTTTCTGATTATTCTGTGCCTTTTGGTTAATACCACCATGGCGGTATTGCGAGGTCAGTGTCTTTTCTGGTTATTTTGTGCCTGTAATACAAAAATTTTAAAACTGTATGAATAGTGAAACTAAAAAAAATTTTAAGTATATGTTTATAAATTGTTGTTTTTTTAGGGAATGATTCCTGGTTTCAGTCAAGATTTTATGTCAAAAGGAACAGAACAAGAATCAGTGGCACGTTTAAAACGTCTTATGACCATTATGGATAGTATGAGTGATAATGAACTTGATAGTCGTGATGGTGCCAAGTTATTTTCTAAACAAAATGGACGTGTTATTCGTGTAGCTCAAGGAGCTGGAGTAACTGGTAAAATTTGTTTAAAAAAACAAAATTAGATTGCATTAAAATAATGTCAAAAACAACTTTTTAGAACGTGAAGTAAAAGATTTAATAATGCAATACACAAAATTCGCTGCTGTAGTGAAAAAAATGGGCGGTATTAAAGGTTTGTTTAAAGGTGGCGATATGGCAAAGAACGTTAACCAGGTGCAAATGGCTAAATTAAATCAACAAATGGCGAAAATGATGGATCCTCGAGTGTTACATCAAATGGGTGGTATGGCAGGTTTACAAAATATGATGAGACAGTTGCAAAATGGGGCGGCTGGAGGTTTAGGTGGATTAGGTAATCTTATGAGTGGGTTTGGTGGTAAATAGATTTTTTATTTTCGAAATGTTAATTTCTGTTCTTCCTTGATTAAAAAAAAGATATAAAAATATGTAATAATTATATTTGATTTTTACTTTATACTTTAATTTCTATTAATAATTATAAATTATTGTAATAAGTTTCAATTATAAATACAAATCTTGGAGGTACCGTTTTTTAAGTAATGTTTTTATTCTATGATTTGATATGATGAAACATAAAAACAATAACAGATGTTATATTTTATTAAAATCTTTGAAGGAAAAACAATAACTAATTAATTAATGGTTTATTTATAATATTATCAATTTTAATTAATTAAAAGAACATAAATTATAAAGTATTTACAGGAAACATTTTACATATTTACAGCAGGACCAATTCGTTTATGTTGGAGCGGTTCAAATGGAGTTATATTTCTAATTTTTTCTTCAAGGTTAACTGAGTAAACATCAGCGCTTAACTCGTCAAGATCGACTTCTTTATCAGCTTTAGCTTTTTTGGTTATTTCATCAACCATTGCCCTACTTTCCGTTTCAATTTTCTAAAAAAAATTAATTAAACATCAATAACTCAAAATATAACATTTACCTTTAACTCTTCAGGCGTCACCAAATTAGCGGTTAAAATCTTCTCTTTAAATGAGGTAATAGGATCCCTAGTTTGTCGTACTTCTTGAATTTCATCACGTGTTCTATAACTTGTGCCTGGATCCGACATGGAATGACCAGAATATCTAGAAAGTCGTTATTATTGACTTTTAAATTTGAAATATTTTCATGATTACCTATATGTGGCAACCTCAAGTACAATAGGTCCTTTCCCAGAAGTGCAATGATTCACTGCATATCTAGCAGCTTCTCTTACAGCTAAAACATCCATTCCATCAATCCAAATTCCTGGGACATAATCACCTCTTGTGTAATAAGCTGTACTAGCTGCAGCACGTTCAGCGCTTGTGCCCATCCCTAAAATTCGAAAATGTAATCAAATTTAACGAGATTACAAATGTATGTTCCAAGCCAAGTTCAAAAAGTAAAAAGATTAGAGAAACAATCACTCGTTACATAACCTTAAAAATAAACCACTCAACTATACTTACACAAGTCTTATTAATATTTTTTTTAAACATGAAATAAAAAATAAACGCCACATTACAGACGGAAAAACTTATTATTTCGGTAATATGAAACGTGAAAAAAACTCAAAGATAACAACTTAAGAATGGAGATGCATAAATATAGATGTTTGAATTTCAAAAACACAAAACTTACCATATCCATTATTCTCACATACAAATATACATGGAATGTTTAAAAGTTTCGCCATGTTATAAACTTCAAACACCTGTCCTTGATTAGCGGCACCATCACCGTATAAACTAACGCAAACCCCATCGATTCCTTGGTATTTTAAGGCAAATGCTATACCAACTCCTAAAGGTACCTAAAATATTTTTAGATAAAAATATTTTTTTGAAGATGACCAAGTTTTTTTATTACTTGTGCTCCTACTATTCCATTTCCACCATAAAAATTATCTCCATACATGTGCATGGAGCCTCCTTTTCCACGTGAACAACCACTTTGTCTACCTGTTAATTCCGCCAAAACTCCTTGAACAGAAACGCCCATTACATAAGTCCAACCATGAGCTCTATATGCGGTGATAACAGCGTCATTTGGTCGAAGAGCTGCTTTTATTCCTACACATACTGCTTCCTAAATAAATACAGAAACAATATACATATAAATTTTTCATAACATTTATGTATTTAACTTAGAGCTGATGACTTGGATATGCTGATTTGATGTGTTTTTGTAAGTGTTTCTACGCAATTAGATGACATACAGAAAGATGTTTCTAGTACTGAAGATAAATTTTTATTCGGAATAAGGCTTGTTATGACCAAGAACAAGGTTCATAATTTCACTGGATATTAGTCGAAAAAAGCGGCTTTAAGAAATTGAAAGATATTGTTATCAAACTCTTTGGTGTCCATATTTAACGCTTCAAGCTTTCTCAAAAAACTTAAAAGTTTTTGCATTTTGGATAAGAGAACGATTTGGGTGGTGCGTATTGTGCAATAAGTGAAACAAGTATAAGTTGTTGTTTCGCCGCCGTATCATCCCATCATACAATCTTAGAGAAATGATATACATTGCAGAATATTTCAAAATTTGCCAAACTGCCTACAGTTTAAGGTAATAATGAATTAATATCAAAGTCGCAACATGATATAAATAATTGCTCTTTATATAGTTTGCACTGAGCAATTTATTTGTTTAAGACCTTTCTGAATACATCAAATCTCAAGTATTACATATGGTTGAACTCGTATTGAAATGTAGATTTCATGAAATAACATAAAAGGCGTGTTATTTAAGAATCCTAAGTAGCTCATAATACAAGAAAACAAAAAAATATGGCAACATTGCGAATGTCAGTCTGGAAACTTGGTATCCCAAATTTTTTATGACTGACTGCCCATTTAAGTAGGACAAAATTAAGTGTTTTAAAACTTTTGTTCCGCTCAGAATATCTGGGAAAAGACAGTACTCAAGGGCAAATGAGTACTACTTCAGAAAAAAGGACTCTAAGGGTGTTTCCAAACATTGCGCGGTGATTGGACATCTTCACGCGTGGAATGCCTCGCGCAAACTTTATTTGTATGTCCAAACTTGGGCGTGACAGAATTGTTTCATGAGTGTTGCTGTTCTAATTCTTGCAAACATTTGATGGAAACATTACCCAACCCATTTTTGGAATTATATCAGTAAGTATATAAAATTGCAAAATAAAACCAAAGGCTTATGACTTTAAGAGGAAATCACAGAAGTAACTACAAAAAAAGGTACTTTGTGTTCTGTGGCTTGGATTATATTGTATTTTTAGACATGATTCTATTTGCCTAATAATTCCAGCATCAACATTAACTTAATTTTATCAAGCCTGTATTTACATAGTCATTTACCTGTCCTGAATAAAGATGACAAAATCCTCTAATAATTTTTTCCTTATATAAACTACCAGCAGATGTTTCCATACGCCTAATAGTATGCATTTGTGAGTAATAAGTTATGGCATCTTCTTTGGATAATGTAACAGAAGTTGATGGGCTTTCTTCCAATTTATGCAGCCTAAATGGCTATAAAAAACTTAATGAATTACTCTACTATTTCATTCAAATCTTATAAGCAACAAAATCTTACTTTTGTTTCAAATGTTGCAGTAGCTGCTGTTGAATATCCATTTTTGGCAGAGAATCCCTTTAATTTCTAAAAAAAAAAATAACTTAAAGCAAATTGGACAAAGTAAATATTTTTCAAGCAAAAAAAAAAAAGATATTTAAAAAAAAAAAGATATTTTTAAAGAAATATTTTCGTTACACTCGAATTAAAAATATCACTATCTAATGGGGCCATAAAAAAACTTTGTTCATAGCCAACTTTATTTAGAACAATCCCACCTGTATATACTACATACATCACTGATTAACCTTCAATCTGTTACGTTTAATTCATTATTTACCTGAGAATCTCCACATAACTTTTGTAATAATCGGCACGATTTTGTTAACATTTTTATCGAAATCGCAAAAAATGATCACGATATTCAGTTGTTCGTTTGCTTCTTGACTGAAAGAAAAGGTCGTTGTATATAACCTCTAATTCATTTGTGACATCGTCGTTTTACGTCAGCTTTCCATCTTTATCACTCACGTGCTCTTTCACCATTCTATATATATTTGAAGGCGTGTACATACTGAGTGAGCATTAAAAAACTAACTAAACTGTTTGGTCGGTTTTGATGGTTGTTTTTAATAATGTACCACTTGATACTCAATTAAGGCAAAGAAATCAGTAAAAACAACATGTTAACAATTATGCTTTACAATGAAAATTGATAAATATTAAATTAACTTGTTGCTGTGTTTGATTTCTTTTGCGTTTCTTTAAGCTCCGATGAAAAAACATAAATTTTCTTATGTCTACTTGTTTATTCTTTCCAATAATGTACTACTTCTATCTTATACATAGTTATTGTTAATCTTCAATCATATCATTTACTTTTCTTCCGTTATGACCAAAACTGGAACGCAAAAGAAATCACTGTATTTGGATATTTACGTTTTTCTCTTCAATCTTGCATTTATCCCCCCAATTCAGTTTTCTTTCCACAACCAGTATTGCTGGACTGAAGATTGAATATATGGTTCTGCCGGCAGGTTTTCGGAAAAAGCGAGGGAGTTTTTTTTGAGTCAGTCTTAGAGTTCGAAACAGTTCAGAGGCTAGTCAATTTTGAGCTGGAGCAGCAACGGTCACTTGAAGAGGTTGGAAGCAGTCAGTCCTGTATCAATTGGGGAAATCAGTCCAGCTGATGGTAGAAACAAAGAAGATTTCCAGTCCCAGAAGAGAGTGAGATTGATCTTGGGTTGGAGTTTGTGTTCCTAGAGTGGAGTTCAGTGGAAAGGCGCAGATAAGAAGTATCGTTGATTGAGAGAAGCCCGTTGCAATGATGATTGTACAGCTGGTAGCTGCTTTTATTTACTGTTTCTGTTTGTTCTAGATAAATCTGCTTTTAGATGGTACTTATTGCATATCATTTCAATTTGACCACATTCAAATTATATTTGGCAGTCTTTTGGGCCATGTGCAATGTTGGAATCACTTCCTAATACGTTGGCCTACGCTAGTATTGTAGATGCTGGTTGTAGTCTCATCATTCAGTATGGAAAAATCTTCTTCCGGAATTAGCAGGGTTTCTGCCAATATTCTGCCAGATTTCATTAAATCCATGGATGGAACTCATTCATTCAAGTTCTCAATAAGAACACCCAGGAAATATAGGCACATCAAACCACTCTTAATACACATCACATGACATTCTGGCGCAAGCTTTAAACTTTTCTTGAACAAACATAATAATTACGAAAACAATAGTCTTATTAAAAGAAACATTTGGACAACTTACTTCAAAACTTTCTCACACTACGAAGACCAAATCCGGCTAAGTTGCTTAGCGTCTTAAGTTAAGTAGCTTAGGTTAAATTTTATAGGATACTTGTTTATGTAATAATTTAGGATAAAACGACTAAATAGCAATTTTTGCAAATATAAGCTTTATTTCAAGTACAAAATTTTACTACACATTACAATTTAATAGAAACACACTTAGTGGAAGATTACAGATACAGAATGTAGCATAATACTTTAAATAAATGCATTTTTTGGCGCTTATTGTGTTGGATTCAAAGTTCTGTTAATTACCATAGACACTTTGTTGTTACATGATATTATCAAAAATATATATATATTTAGCTTAATTAGCTCAATAAATTAAAAACTTGAGAAGGCGATTGTATTTTGGGTTAATTTTGAGTTGGTAAACTTAATTATTTATGTATATAAATATTATATAAATCATATTGTGTACAAAATTCTAACCTTGAATGTGTTAAATTTCAGATCGCCAACTACCAATTGTATCACTTTAAAGATTTTGGTTTATAAAACAATTTAAGTAATTTAATTATAAATATTAATTAATTCCTATTGGTTTCTGTATGACCATTTTGATTTGGAATTCCGTTGGTTTTTTCTATTACATTTAATGATTCTATTTCGTCTTTCGTTCCTTTTTCTTCCCTAATAAATTGAAATATAATTAATTTAGTATTTATTGAAATATTTCCAAATAACTTTTACCTTCCAAACTTTTCTCCATCTTCGATAGTTTCGGGAAGTTGTTTATTTAACGTTTCTGGTAACAATAAAGATAAACAACCTCCAATAAAAGCTAAAGCTCCAAAAATAATTAAAGGCAAGGGTTGCCAATATTCGGACATTATATTTATAACTGGCGCAAGAACAGATCCTACTCTAGCTGATGTAGAGCCAGCTCCTAATCCAGCGTTTCTGATAACAGTAGGAAATTGTTCCACTGAAAAAATATAAATCGCGCCATAACTAGCAGTTATCGCTAATTTTCCAATCATAGCTAAAGCTACAACTCCCCATTGGCTACCTAAAATTTAAAAAAATTTGTACTTGGATGTAAAAAAAATAAGTTTGTTTTTTTACTTGAAGGGACAGCCATTGTAATTAACAAAGCAATACCAGCAGTAACCATACTTCCGCATAAAACACATTTTCTTCCCCATCTATTGATTGTTAACATTACAAATGTGTAAGCAGGAATTTCAACAGCACCTGATATTACAAAGCTTAAATAATCATTTCCTCCTAAGTTGCTTGTATTCCAAGATAAACCATAATAAGTCATACTGTTTGCAAACCTGAAAAGATTTAGATTTTTAGATTGTTCTAAAATAACTTTAAATCCTTACCAATCAAAAAATATTATCAATGACCGCTTTCTTAAATTAGCATGCTTAAAAATATCCAAAACGCTTGGCTTTGATGTATTATTTTTTTCTTGCTCTTCGTTTAATTTTTTAACATCAGATTCAAGTAACCTATCTAATTCTTCTTCAGGTATTGTCACTTTATTTTCTTTGGCAGCAATTTTTATTAAATCTTTGGCTTCTGCAATTCTGTTTTTTGATATTAACCATCTTGTTGATTCAGGAATAAACCTACAATTAAAATCATTACATGTTTGCAAGTTTATTTATTAGAGAAATCATTATTTACCACCAATAACAAAAGAAAGCAATCCCAGGAACCGTGAGAGCGATTTGTAAATGTCTCCATTCGCGGATGTAATAAGCGAATAACGCCGTTAACATGTAACCTAACGAGAAAAACATTTGACACACTGTACCTGCTATCATACGTTTTTTTGGACCTACCATTTCCATCGCTGCAAAATCAAATAAATTTTATCAAAAATTTAGTTTAATTTTAGACAAATACCTATGACATAAGCTACTAAAAAGACTCCGGAAGTTGTTGCTCCAACAATCGCTCGAGCTATTGTATAAGTCCAAAATTCGGGCGCGACTGCTGTTAAAAGCCCAAAAACTACTTGAATCACCAAACTTATAAAAAATATTATCTTTCGGCCATATCTAAAAAAACTCTTTTAATCTGTGTTGCTTTAATTAAAATTATTTTATACCTATCTGATAGTTCGCCAAATCCAATAGAACCCAACATAACACCAATCATAAAAACAGAATCGGTAGTTGCTCGCTTATAAGCCGCGGAACACACCAATTGCCACTAAACATAAAGAAAATCAATCTACAGAAACCTACATAAACAATCAAAAATGTTATTAATTAAACAAAAAAATTAACTCTACTTACTTCCATCACAATACTGCTTTCATATTTTCTTGTATCATAAACATATTTATTACAACTTTGTTCGGTTCCATTCACCAACATGGAACAATTTGAATATTTTGAGTTTAAATTGTCCCAAGGGTAGTATTCTTGTGTTGTATTTAAATCTAAGATGTATGTTGCGTTTGGAAATTCCGATGGTAATAAACATCTTTGATTTATATCAAAAAAATAAATAAATTATCATATAAAAAGCCTTTTAAACATTGCTTTTACCTGTGGTCCACTTTGGCATGTAAAAAAACGTTGGCTAATTTGTGGAAGGCACATAAAATGGCAGGTATACATATTAGGAAGTATATTCTTCTTTGGTATCGCCCGAAGTCGCCCAAAAGTGGTATAACATCATCGTAACCCATTATTAATTAATTATATCTGAAATTGTACGATGTACTAAAATGATTTTGGTTATAGTAAAATAACATCTTGATTAAAATAAAACCTAAATGAAATTGAATTGGTTCCAAAAGGCCAATAATAATCTATAAATAAGTACAAGAAGTTATGAAACGATTTTTTTTTTTATTTTAGAATAAAAAATACTTAATTGATTTTAAAGAAAAAAGAAACCTTCATAAAATGATAAAAAATAAAAAAGGAAATTGAAACCGTTATACGTTTTTGTTCCAACGGTCAATGATCCCGTCGAAAATTTTCATATTTATTCTATTGGAATAATTATAGAACGATATAAAGTAGAATTTAGACGATTGCTTTAATTTAGTCAATTAAACCCGAAAATTAAAATAGATACCAAATTGAAATTTATAATATGTTAAAACAATTTCTGTTTATTTCAGCATTTAGAAAAAAATTACTTATCTAATGGCGTTTCAAAATATTTCTTATATCTCAATTGGCGTAAATGCTAAAAAAACATTTATTTTGCAATGTTATTATCAAAGATCCGTCATTTATTGCTCACGTGCTGTATAATCACGTTCTCAATGATCTAGACATTAAAAGTTGTTGAGTTGCTCGTGAACGTTGGATTATCCTAAAAATTATTGAACTGATTTATGTAGATAAAAATATTGTTTATAACATTCTAGTAACATTCCATTTTAGTGCGATAACTTCCTTGATTTATTTTGATCTTTTTTAATAATTATTGCAACCAATGTTAGTTTTGAAGTTAGGATGTTTATAATAATATTAATCTCAGCATTAAACCACTGCCTCAGAACCGGGTGAGAATCATGAAGGATAACTGGTAGCTATCCACGACGCAAGCTGGCTGAAATTACTTGTTTCCAAAACCACTTCCCAATCAACCCTTTCGCATAGAGATTAAATTAATCAAGGCCACAGTGAAAACGCTTCAAGAATGTTTGAGAACTAATATTACCAATGATTTAAGAAAAGACACAAAAGCTTGTGATATTGATGAACCATATCAGATCTAATAGGTTGAAGTATCCGCAAATTAAATATTTTTCACTATCAGTTCAATCTTGGACTGCTGATCGATAAAAAAATATAATGTAATGTATCAATATGTTTAGGTTGTGGTAATACCTGAAGTAATTTGTTCAGAAATATTTCAAGGCTGAATTTCTTACAGGTGATGTTATGAGTATTTTTTTTTGCAGTGCTATTAGCAGACATGAATCGTAATAACCCAGCATGGTCAGGACCACTATACGATATAAGTGTAAACATGTACTGTCTTCTCCCTCTTTCCTTACTGGTTTGTCATTCGTCCATTTCTCAAATGAACATATTCGCCACAGAAAGCATCTTACTGTTTACTATACATATTTGTATTTTTTCCTATCTAGTAGCGTAATAAATAGTTATTAGTTTTAGGTATTTTATTTTATGTAAGATGCAGATCAAAAGTTTGGTACTATTATACTTTTGGAATGTTGCATGTTTCGGAGAGACCCGAGAATTATGTTCTTCAGCCATATTTATTTTCCTTTATATAAGATTCATAGGCACTTGTTGCTGTTTGATTATATTACTCCACTAGTGATAGATTTTAATGGCGAAAAATTTGTAATAGCCTATCAAATAATGATATCACTCCATTTTCCAGAAATTTCGAAATTGATAAATAACAAATTAGCATTTTACTACGAAGAATGGAAGTCATCATTGCTGCTTCGATTATAGAAGGCTCAATAGGATTACCAAGGTTCCTAAAAGAACGCTGGATAAATTGGATGGACAGTTGATTTCTTGGGACTGATCTAACTCCCAGTAAGGTGAAATGTAGATTTTGTATATACTTCGTTGAAGTATTTCACTTATATTCCATAGGAATGACTTGCTTGTAAGTCCTGATAAGTTTCGAACTATTATCGAGTTCCCCGTTGCATCCGAGTTGCTTTAAGTGCAACGAATTGTGAGAATGGCTTCCTGATTTCATCTTATTTCCATTCCGGTCTAAGTATAGCAGGAATTTGAGGTCGAGACAAATGCCATCGATTTTGGTCTTGAGGTTGTAGTTTATTTACACAATACTTTATCTTTACAATATTACATCTGGTTATGATTTCAACATTAAGTTGTTCAGTAGATGAAGCGCTTTAATTAATTCCTCACCAATTTTAAATTGGACAACACATATTACAGCGTATCGGCCGAAAGCAATCTTGACTAAACTAAGGATGGAGAATGTACCATTCAACTGATTAAATTGAGGCCACTTGCGGCCGAGGCTTTGTAATTAATACCATGCCAACCCAAAAGAGACATTTTATCTTAATTATTATACATCAGTTAGAAAAATAACAATTTACAAACACTTCTTCGTTTAACTTTGGTATTTTAAGAACCTTTAAATTGTTCTTGAAAATAATGGTTTCCATCCTGATACTATTGTTTTCTTTCATAAATCAGTTTCTTTTGAATACATGGAGTCTATCAAGAAACGAAATAACTCCAATTAATTTGATATTTTTAATTGCTGATTACGCGATAACTTTTATTGTTTTTAGATAGTATTAAAAGTGTCAATTTTTTAAATTAAACTAAACCAACATGTATGGATATAAGCAATGTATATTTTATTGGACTAAGATCAAAGAACATCGAACCATACGCTGTTATATATTGAGAACCAATTGAAAGATCCAACCAATTAATTTTTATAAATTTTAATTAAAATCTGTTTCATTAACTTAAAAATAATATAAAAAGTGATAAATATCTTAAAACCTAACATATATTTAAAAAAATTTATGTACTTACGTACCTAATCACTTTTTGTAATAATACACGAACTAATTAAAAGATAGAGTATCAATTGAATAAACTTAATACAAAATCTGACTCTTCAAATATTTATTTACATCTCTTATCTTATCTTAATTATAAAATGATATATCTTTACTTTTTGGGAGACATTGTTGTCTTGAAAATAACATTTTTATTTGTGTATATTTCAAGATAAAGTATCTTTAATCTTTTAAAATAAAATTTAACACTTTAATTAACACGTTCGCTGCCGACTACGAGTTAACTCGTATCTAAACCCTGGTTAACGGGGTCGCTCGGCAGCGAACGTGTTAAATTAAAACCGGCTTAAAATTTTTTTTAATCAACCCAAATTCATAAATATTTCAATAAAATTCCAAATAGATTTTATATCTATGTGTATATCACTTTACTTTGTATTCTATCAGTAGAAAATGCTTATTTTTGAAACCGATAAGAAAATGCGTTAAAAAAACTTTAGCGTGGTGTAGATAAAAATGTGTACTTACATTTTAATTTACTTATAAACGCAAAATTTATGACCACATGCCACTACATCAGCACATGAATGGTTCTTAAAAACGGGCAGAGCGGCAACGTGTGGTTTTGAAGCCAGAAACTTGTAAAGTTGTCCAAGCGGCGGATCAATATTTTAGGAAAAGAGGTTGGTCATTCAGTAGTTGCACGTGCCGCTGTGTTGTGTAGTATCACGCCATGTGGACGACAGTTTCTATGCGCACGCGTTTTACTAGAGATGAGCCTCGGTCAAATCAATGACCGAGACTTCGAAGTTTCATTTACACTATAAGCTATGTCTAAAAAAATATTTTGAGACAAAAATAACAATTAAATAATGAATATTGTGAAATGATCACAATATTGTAAAATATAATATTATGAATATCTCAAAATTTGGTGTATGTCGAATTTTGCTTGCTAATTATTTACAGATAAATTAAATATTAATTATACCTTTGTAGAAAGGTGACCTTGACTCATATGACGAAGCAACATGGTTATATTAAAGTTACGTTGTTGCTATGAAAGTCCGGAAGTCGAAAAAACCCTCTGTGATTCAATTTGTGGTGGAGACATACTTGGCATAATTTTACAACTCTTCTCAATCTCGAGCTTGCTCTACTTTTGCCTTATACTATAAACAATTAAACAAGATAAACGAAGTATGGCTTCAATTATTTGAAATAAAAGTATTCCAAATTGGGTAAAGCAAATTCAAGTGAAAAAATCTCCAATTGCAGTATCACAAATGAATTCTTCATGAAGATAGTTTATTGGAATATTATTTACAGCACTAGCTAGTAAGATTATCTAATGGGTTTTATAGCAGTACTTATAACGGATATTCATGAATCTCAAATGACAGCAACGATAATAGGATAGGTCGGGATTAGTATTTTGAACAAATTTCCAATGAAGTTTCTTTAATGGTAGCCTTGTCCTTCTTAATAGGTGTCTAATGATAGTATTTGCAGTTGCTAAATTTTCAATCGCAATATTATTTTCTATTAAAAATGTTCTAACAGATCTCTTATGGCAATATTTCCAATAAATATTCTTTAATGACAATCAAATCAATATTTTTCAATATTTCTATGTTAACATCTGTACTGACAAGATATCCATTTGCAGTATTAGAAGTTTTGATGAGTTTACTACAATGGATATCTAAGTACATAAAAATATCAAATGCCAATAACTTTATGCATATCCCATAGTAGTGTCTTCAACGATAAATTTCCAAAGGCAGTATCTTAAGTAAACTTCTAATTAAGATACTCCAATGAATCTGCAATGTGCCTTGACTGAATCTTCTTCAATTGATCTCTTTTGAGTAACTTCAGTGACAAGCTCTGAAATGAATTTTCCACAAAGATAGTCCGCTGAAACTTCAATTGCAATCTGTGCCTTATGCCAGTACCTAAGATGGTTTCAAAGAGAGTCCAATGAATTTTTAATGGCAGTAACGCCAATGGGTTTTGTGTCAGTATTTGCAATTATAAGATATCCATTTACAATATCAATAAATTTTTTATGAAGATAGTCTAAAATATCTAATGATGGAATCTACAACGGATTTCCAAAAATCTCAAATAGCAGTTACTCCAATGGTGTATTTGCAGTGACAAAATCTTCAATGGCAGCATCCTAAACAAATTTCCAATAAAGATACAACATAGATAGTAAAGTATACTAAGTACTCCTTGGTATAGTACCTATAATGGATGTTCATGGATCTCAAATGACAGAAACGCCAATGAATATCTTAATAAGGAAGGGAATTTATTGAGGTTGGGAATGGAAAGTTAAAAACTTGAAATGCTTGTGCAAACAAGTAGAATGGAAAATTTCTTATAGGTTTTATGAGATCTTAAACTTTTGTCCATGTTTTAAATAATGGTTAAGAAATGATTAGGGCAATCATCATTAGTTTTTGAGAATTTGCTCCTATTACATAAAAAAGTTAAGGAACATCAACCAAATGATTCTAAAACACAGGTTTTTTTGACTTTTTTTTGAATTGAAAAACAATTTTTTGAAATTCAGTTTGAAATTTGATAATTTTGAGGTCTCTCTCGCGACGTGCTTGATTTTTTGATTCGAATAATATCCATAGGACCAAATAGGTTAGGAAAAAAAGATTTCAGTTTTTTATTTAGTTTTCGGCTATCTCTAAAGATAAGGGAGATATTGGAGATGGAGGCAGGTGAAAAAACAAAGGTCAACAAAGATAGTTGTTCTCGCTACAGATTTTTTTACAAACACTAAAGATTGGTTCAAGATGATGATATACAGAGTATATATTAACTAATTATTATATTTGATATTTAGTAATTTATTACAAATCACATAAAAATATATAAATACTTAATTAAAATATAAAATAGGTAGGTTTTTTGTATGTTTTAAGTAAATGGTCATCTCTTAAGCTTATTTACATCCAATTTTATCACATTTATTTCTTATGGCTTAATGGCGAAACATTTAAATACTTCTCAAACGTTTAAATCTATGTTGATTTGGGACGTTCCAATTTTTTCATATGTTCCTCAATCTTTTCGGTCCGCTTCAATAAACGAATTAACATATTTTTAAATTTGTGCATATCGTGTTTGTACTGACCCTAAAAAAAAATAAATTTAATAAAAAGAATTTGTTATAAACAAAAAATTTTACGATTTGATTAAATTTGTCATCTATATGTTTTAATTGTTTCTGTACATGTTTATAATTTTCTTTTAGATTTTTTATTTCATCCGGATTTATTTCTTGGACAATCTATAAATTAAATTATTTCATTCTTAAATCGTTTGAAAAAATATTTGTGGTATTATTTTAAAACCTTTTCCACGTTTAATATCCTATTCTCATAACTTTCTAGTTCAGATCCTTCGATTTCCGTTTCTTCCTTAACTAAAATAATTCTATTTATTAACAAAAATGTTTGAGGATTTTTTTTTACCATTTTTAATACAGGATTCTCCGTCTTCTTTCAACTGAAAACCTTCTCTACATTCGCACCGAAAACTTCCATGAGTGTTATGACAAATTTGATCGCATGGTTTATCTTCACATTCATTCAAGTCATTTTCACAAATTCTTCCAGTGAATCCTTGAGTGCAATGACATTTATTTGGTTTTACACATATTCCACCATTTTCACATGTTACGTCACAAATAGCTATAAAAACCATTAATAATAAAAATTAATAACATTTTATTTTTGTGCCTTACGTATATCACAATCCTGCAAAGTATCATTCGCCCGCGTCCACCCATGACAACATTCATACGTAAGTTGTTTTGAATGTTTTGTTGTTACAACATCTCTGTATGCTCGCTCATAAACTACCCTAAAATATTTTTGTACATAAAAACTCTTTTCAATTAGATTAATTTTTATGATTTTACCTCACACTGGTACAAATTTGATTGTAAAAACATTTTTCTCTGTAAGTTTTTAATGTAGGTTTACAATATACTTGTTTAGTTTTTGTTGGATAACTAGAATCTTTATGAACTGCGCACATATGTTTTCTGAAATAAAATTGACAATAAATTATTTAAAATTGAAAACGTGGACTTGAATAGTATTGAAACGTGAAGCAATAAATATGTTAGTTGGAAAATGTCAATGTCTTTGGTACGGTGTTCGAAAAGTAGTAAAAAAAGAAGTCTTCTGAGTCGCGTGAGAAACTTTATGAGATATTATCCTCTTTGTAGTTTACATAAAAACCTGTCTGAGTTATGGTAGTGTCCTCAAATATTTTTACTTGTAACTTCCTTCATTTGCACTTGTGGTTCGTTTAAAATTACATTTTTTTATTGAAGGTCTTTCGAATAATATGATGTATAAGGTTTATTGCAACCCACTTTTCTTAAATTTTTTTTAGTTTATGTAAATAAAAATTTTTAACCTTATATGAAAAAATTATCAGTAATTTAGTGATAAATTGGAGTATTTCTTCAATAAATTCATTAGAGCTCGATACAGGTTTTCTTTATAAGGATTGTTTCTTAATTAAAAAAATAAAGTAAATCAAGTTAAATTTACATGTTAATTAATTCGTCGTCATTGGTCCCAAAAAAAGGTTTAAATATAGTTGATAAAACCCCGGCAAAAAGCACACGCTGCGTGTCTCGTTTCGACTACCGAGAGATAATTAATTTTATTTCCTTCGCTGTCGGCACCGGCGATTACTTTCAATCTCACTCGACCGTTATTATTTCTTATTGTAAAATACTTAAGAGACCGTCACTTTTATTTATAAACATATAGGCGTTAAGAAAACCTCTTATAATTGTCTGTGTTAATTTTTTTCTCAATCTCAAAAGAGAAATGTGGAATGTATGATTTCTAAGAATCTATAATTCTGTGGAGTAAGTACATACATATATCGTTGTTTGTAGTATTACCTTACACACTATATCTATCTTTTTTGCAAGTATCCACAAAAGAAAATGTCAGTTGTAGCAGTTGTGCTGTACGTGGTAATAGATAGGTAATGTAGGTGTTATTATTAACACTTTGACGTTTGCAAGGTTCACAAAAAATCTCTACCTAGATAACGAACAGCTTTCTAATGGCATCACGTTAGTGTTGCTGGACGTGATAGTGTTAATGCAAAAAAACGACAACACGTGGTACGCTAAACATAAAACATGTAAAAGAACTTAACTTTTCAATTTATCATTGTCTCTGATTTTTTTCATTTTAAAGAACGTTTTTATTCATTATCTTTACTTTCAGCTTATCATTCTCTAAATTTCTTCGACTATTTTAAAGGTTATTAATTAACACCTTATTTTTAAGTTCAACATTACAACTCGCTACAACTACTGATTTAAAACACACTGATTCCATATATAAAAAGTGATTTAAACTCCTTAACTACACCCTTTCTGAATTGACTACAACGTGACCAATTTAATTTTAACTAAAAGCTTTGTAAACATGTCAGCCAATTATTCAATTGTAGAAAGATCCATTCCATTAATCTTTCTGTCACTTTATTTCTAACAAAATGATATTTACGGGTTTCAAGCGTTTGTGCTGACTTGTTTTAAAAAATCATGGATTCCCCACTTTAATTTTTCATCAGTTCATCATATTTTGCTGATGATAACACAGCTTCTTCAAAAATGTATTACTAATACTTTGGAATTGAACTTTATGATCAAGATAAGTTTTGGGCATCGCATAAAGTATGTAATAAAGCAGGATTTAGATTTGATGTTCTAATATTATGGAATGAGCCAAGTAACCATATCAACAATTCAAACTAACATACAACTCAAGAAAATAGAAATCCATTCGACCAATAGAACATGGTCAACATCTTCCTGTCTGTAAACCACCAGATGATATGGATAAATTAAAGCTAAAAAGCTCTATTTTTAGACTATGTGTCGAAATGATGTGGTAAGCTAACAAATATTTTTCGGAAAAAAATGTTATAGGACAACCTGTTAATTTGGGTTGTGTCAGAAATAACGAAAATTTAAAAAAAATCACCACTTCTTTATTTTTGGGAGTATGGAAATAGTTTATATCTTAAATTAAAGCTAAAAAGCTCTATTTTTAAATTATTTGCAGAAATAATGGGGTAAGATAGCAAATATTTTTCGGAAAAAAATGTTATAGGAAAACCTGTTAATTTGGGTTGTGTCAGAAATAACGAAAATTAAAAAAAAATCACCACTTCTTTATTTTTGGGAGTATGGAAATGGTTTATATCTTAAATTAAAGCTAAATAGCTCTACTTTTAAATTATGTATAGAAATAATGGGATAAGATAGCAAATATTTTTCGGAAAAAAATGTTATAGGAAAACCTGTTAATTTGGGTTGTGTCAGAAATAATGAAAATTTTAAAAAATCACCACTACTTTATTATTGGGAGAATGGAAATGGTTTATATCTTAAATTAAAGCTAAAAAGCTCTATTTTTAAATTATTTGTAGAAATAATGGGGTAAGATAGCAAATATTTTTGTTTCTCTGTATCAGAGGCAGTTTTTACTGAAAGTGATTTTCAATACATAGAAAATTGTTTACTCAAGCCAAACTTAATGTTTTGGTTTTGGACTTAACAAAGGAGAAAGCTTAATTACTTGATTCCAGGCTCAAGGAGAATAATTTATTGGCAGCAGGAACTTTCATTCATGTATAGGCAAAGAAAAAAGAAATTTTCCCAATTTTTCTAACATTGCAATGTTTTAGTATACTTCAAAATGGCTTTACAAAATACCCATGATTTGATGTGAATGGACTATAAGACAAGGAATGAAAAAAGAACATCGTGCACCCGAAAAACATTCTGCTGTCACATCTACACATAAAATTAGGACTATAAAAGCAGTATATGACAGATTTAAGTATATATGCGAGAAGCTTTTTCAACTGCCAGAGGAGTTTTTATTGGGGTTGAAAACCAACTTTGAATTACAAACGATAGTAATTAAGAGTGAGGCTTGGGTTGGGTTGTCATGGTTCCAAGGTCTTGAGTAACAAAAAGTGTAACATCTGCAGTTACCAAAATCGTGGGAACGCGGACCGTTCAACAGTTAGAATGTTTAATGAGACTTTTTGAACAGGCACCTTGATTGTTGCGCATCCATTGCGCATTATCAGATTTCACATTACAAAATAATTTGATGTAACTCTTTCCGTACCTCTAGTGGTAAAGTACAGACAATTTAGACAAGTTTGAAAAATGTTCTTTAGTTCAGTGTTTCAATAGCACTTTTAATAAATGGCAAATTGATTTATTTTTAGTACCAATATAAATTAATAACTCATTTATGGCACATCTTTGAAAAATGATTTTATGTAGCAATGTAGGTAAGATATTCTATGTAGTAATGGGTACCCGTGGTAATTGCAGCACAATAAATCAACCTCTCATCGTTTATGATGCAAATTTCGTCTTCCCGTTTGAAGAAAGAAGAAGTGGAAGATAATATTTTGCAATATAAGTAACATCGTTTTGTATTCTTGCACCATCCAAATCATTTACTTATTTTGGTAATGTTTTTGGGTTAAATTTTCTGGTTTCATCTAACACATTTTTTCATTGATGAGGTTTATACTCTTTTATTATAGTGAGAGACATCGACGCTGCCAAGTCAAAAATTTTTTAAATCTGCATAGGTAAAGTAAGTTAAGGCAGATAATAATTAATATCATTCTTGTAAGCAATCTTGGCCAAATTTAGGGTGGAAAATCAATCGTATTCCCAGATTATGGTGCAAGTATAATACAAATACAAATTTTTACTTTTTGTAGAATCAACGATAACAAACCTTACATTTATTCAGTCCTATCTTTTAATAAAGCTGTCACCAATCGCGTTCTAAAAACAAACAAGGTTGGTATTCAATCGCGATAGCCTTTTACTAGTGCTAGTGTAACAAAATTTTTGATATGTCAAATACAAAATGTTCATTAGAATTCCATATCAATCACGTTAGAAATGTGTATACAATATCTATCAACGAATCTTATAAATGGGTCAGTGTCGGTATTTAAATTAGCATATGTGATCCCGTATGAATTGTGGCATAACCCACTGGCTGAGTACCATACTGTGAATTAACCGGTGTACTTACTACGTGTGGTTTTAGATGCCAGTTCTATTGATAATCTAACTGTATTCAATGCCGCGTTCAAGCTACCATCTATTATGTGAAATAACGCAACCATTAATTTAGACATTCGAATGTCCAATTGAAGTACAGTCAATGTTAAAATCCATGCATCAAGACTTGTGTTGTGTTTTATCAATCTATATTACCATACAAATTTATAAATAAAGTTATCTATATCATGGAGAATGAATTATTTCATACTAACACCAACGATAAATAAACCAGTATTGAAATATCGATGTATTTAATATTTTTTTCTAATACAAATAACATTGTGTAAACACGAACCCCATGTATTGATCTCTTGTCAATACAGACAAGACGTCCAGACAGTAAATAAACTATAACATAAAGAAATATTTTTCTCGTTCGAGTTAGTCGTCTCACAGCCTTTTAACTTTGCATCGTAAATTAAGCTCAGAGATATTACTCATCATCGTTAATGGCTGGACAATATTTCAATTTTATTCTCCAATCCTTTCTTTCGTTTTATTACGAGATGTACTTTTTGGGACCATTAATTGCTCGATCCGTATTCTACTTGTTAAAAAAGATTTAACCCGGGTTTCTGCACGAATGTATTCTTTATGAATGTGTTATTTATGAATGTTGAAGTCATCATTTTATGATCCACGGATTGATTTAAACTTTAATAATAAATGTTTACATTTACAGCTTTTATATTAATCAATAAAAGACACGCTAATTATTTATTTGTAATTTATAATCTAAACGATTAAAATAATTGCCAGTTTAAATAAAAATCAGCGGTTTTTCTGTAGATAACGATTAAAACACTGTGTAAATATAAATTATTAATTAACATGTTGTTGAGTAAATCGGATTTATCTCGCCGATGAATGGAAATATATAAAATACATCTACATGTGTAAATTAAATCAGTTGGTTTCTTGTGATTGATGACTTTTGCCACCGAAACATTAATCAAAGAACATTTATATCATACAGAAGACGATATGAAGATAAATTAAGCGGTAGCGAGCTTCGATGTCAAAATGTTTTTAAACGTTTTTTTTTTAGGTTTAACAACCGATCGGTATCGCTGCACCTTCGGCACAAGATCGAAGATAAAGGTCCTTGCACCGCGAGGGACGGCAATAAACCGTATGAACAACGAAAGAATTACCACAAAAAAAAATTAAACACATAAAAAATAAGTATTAAAAATAATACAAAATTGACACTTACCCTGGTCGCACATCCTTTCTAACATCAACTTCCGGTGGAAGCTCATCAAATTTTTCAACTAATCCAGAATCATCTGCAGAAATAAATCGTTGATTTAAAGTAGAGTTAAATTTTTTTGGAAACAATAAAGCTGATATTGAGGGTTCGAGAAAATAAGAAAAAATAAAAAAGACTATGTATAATGTGAGTCGACGAAGCATTGTTGTTCTTGTTTCTTTTGAGGGTCTGTCGCGGGCGAAGTTTGCACGTGGAATGAGACGAATTGAGAGAGTAGAGTGAAGGGAAACAGGAGAGGCAACAAGTTCCCACAGAGACTGCACGGCAGCCTTGCGAGGTAGCAGGAGGAGAGGACGCGATAAAGAAAGAAATAAAGAAAAAAAACGATAATGAGTAATTGGCATGAGAATGGGGCAAGTGACAACGTTCTCACTTTCGCTAATAAATTTATCCAATCCCTTTGTTACCACTTTTAGACACATTTTAACTTCGTCTTTACACATTTTTGTCATATCTACATCTCAATTTCTACAACCACGACTTTAACCTTTTAAAATCATCAGCTATTTTCCAACTTCTATAAAGAAGCCAAACGGAATTTCACCCTTTTGTTAGCAATGTTCACATTAACATATTAATCGTTTTGGGCTGGGTTATTTTAATTTATAATTTAAATGGATTTCTTCATTATTCAATTTATTTTAAATGTGGTGTATTTGTTCTTGACAAAGCATGTGGGAAGTGTAAATGACAGGGAAGGTTAAAAACACACTCCTTATTATTAGTTATTGGGATTCGGAACCTTTCTCTTGGCGCAGCAATGTTTATTTACATTAATTCGGTTCATTGTGATGCATAAATTTCCATAATCATGTTGATTGAAAATTAAAAATTATTCATTATTTCTAGAAAGATCTTATTTGAATTGGAAATTAGTATTCAAACAAAGTATTTTTGTTGATATAAAAAAATTTTTGTTTATGTTGTTAAAAAATAATAAAATTTAAAATAAATATCGGTATTATATGCAACCCAAGCAACTTTGTTAATAATTTAATATTATTTTGCAATAATCAAAGTTTAGCCCTCAAAGTTGTTAGGACGTGAAGAGGTTGATGGTGATGGAAGTTCATATTGTATAGTATCTAACTCTTCATTATTAATGTATAAATACAATAATATAAATGTCATTACTTAGGCAACCCAAATATCAATAATAGTTTAGTACAAGCAAAAAATTGTAGATGGAGTCACCTTAATAAATCAAATTTAAATCTTATTAGGAAATAATATATATTATAACATTTAAAATAACTTCGTTTTTAAAATGTTCTTATTGTATTATATTATTTTCTCTAATTTATCTAAATTTATATACTTAAATAAACACCTATATAAAAAAATCTATATTTTCATTGAAATGACATTTATTTAAATATTTGAATTTAAATTCATATATGAATGTACAAGTGTGGTTTTTGAATTAAATTGGAGTGTAGTTTGAATTGAGCTTTTATATGAATGAAAAGTTTTAAGGGACGGGATTTTAGGGCACCGGGTCGATCGATAGGACGAGAAAACGCCACCTGCTGCTGCTACTGCTACTGCCTGGTTCAGGAACGTCACGTAACGTTACATGGAACAAGGTCAAAAACGTGCTTCTACCGTTCCACTTGCTCCTAACCGAAAGATCCTTCCACTTTAGCCACAAAGAGAAAAGAAAACATTTTTTTAAATATTTCTCAACCACGGATTTGGACAAAAACCTTCAATTAATTTTTATTTTGCTGATAAATCTATTAATCAGGAAATAAAAATCATTTTTTTTGTGTTACATTGTGTCCTTACATAGAGTATTTCCGTGTGATAACGTGTTGATAGGAAAAATTACATTAAATACTATCGATGCAATATATCCTGTGATGAAAGCCTGACCATGCCAATAATTTATCAGTTGTTGTGTCTTATTTGGATTTATTTTGACCCCAAACGCCGTCGTCTTTAATCTATAACAAACTAAACAAACTATGTAGTACTATACTTTTCACATTACATTTTTTGCAAAGTATCTTATTATCATTTGCAAATTAAAATAGTAAATTATATAATTTTTGCAATACTAAATAATATTTTAGTAGAGTAGAGTAGTTAGTAGAGTTAGAATTTGATACCCTTATTAAAACGAAGACTCCAATAATGTTGCAATTATGATTGGCAAAAAGGATAAGTCTAGATACGCCAGGAAAAACAAATCAGTTAATTCTAAGAAATTGTGGCTTATTCCACAGCAACAAATTATTTTCTATCAACGTGTTGTCGTTATGAATTATCGTACGTTTGTCTGAGAATCCATATATATAACAAATATGTTTTTGAATGTAGCTGGATTTTCCTGCAATAAGGTTGCTTATGTTACACATGGTAATCCTTCCCGTAACGCAATGATAATTTATAATCGTAATTTCTAATCTTATATATTATGTGCTGATCAATTTCTTTTTTCTAATCTAAATTGCCTACTTGGACATTCATAAGAGTGTTTGCATGGAGAATATTACACTATTTCGTTCCTTCGCTCTCTATTTATCTGTTCTTTTGATTTTTGCTTTCTTCCTTTTGTACATCTCATTCTGTTTCTGCCAGTCTCTCTCCGGTCACAACCTCGTATTGTTGTCATCGTTTTGTGATTATGAAATAATTTAAAAATCTTCTTTTCTGTCTACCTCTCATGCTTCTCAATATCTGATCTGCTGATATTGTTACCGCATTTATATCTAAAAGAAACCTGAAAGTATCATCATTTTCTCTCCAATTATTTGCATTATATCATTCAATATTTTTCCGGATCTTGGATCGTCTTGTCCATGGAGATAACACAGCTCTTTTGGATCTGTAACGCACTTTGATTGCTTATCTTCGTCCCTTTATCATATGGGCAACCATTTTCTTCTTTTTTTTTCAACCCAACCTAACACGGTTCCTCAACCTCCCAGTGTCTCCCTACGTCTCCTTGCTGCCAGGACCTCTTCTATCCATCTCCTCCACCGCGCCTGTCGCCCAGAACCTGCCTCCTGTCTATCACCTCCTCCCTCAACTTATCACAGTCTAACAGGAGGTACATTAAACATTCTCAGCCCTCCCAGCGCAGTCTACAAACCCTCTCCTCATTCTTCATCCAATATCTATTGGCCCTCTTATCGTTACCACACCTAAATCTGGCCACCTCTTCATTCCCCTCCGCCATCAAGTACTTCGGTATTCCCACATCCCTATGCTACTACTCCAGTTGTGTCCACATCTCAATCCCCTCCTCTCTTTTGTTGTTCACTTCTTCTGTTGAGTACCCCACACTTCTGTAGTATCCCTTCTCTTCTCGTTGCTCATGACGATCCTTTCCTGCCTCAATCTCTCTACGACACTCCCCAAGATTTTACAATGCGCACTTCTTTCCACCCTAACCTTACCTTCATTTCTTCTCTAAATGTGTTCTCCACCCTACCCAACCCCAAACACTCACTTGCAGTATCTGATCGGCACATCTTACAAAACTTCATCAACTTCTTTTTGTCTACGTTCACCTCCAAATCCTTCCCCCTAAAATACCCATCCAGTCATACACGTACATATATTCTTTATTTAATCAATACATTTATAAATTGTGAATCCAATTACTTGGATAGTTTGAGATGTTTGTACATGACGAAACTTCTTTAAGTTAGCTATACCAAGTGTAATTAACAATGTTAGGAATAATTTTATCTGATTACTCTGGAATTGTTCTTTGTTTTCTTAGTAGATAACAAGTACATCAGATAGTACATTTTCTTGTAGTTCTTCACACATTTTTCTCAAAACTTTCTGTTTTGTAGGGAACTTAATCATTTACAATAACAAATTACCATCGGTCCAATTAATTGCGTCAGAAATGAAGTAGCAACGACTGGTGGTAAGAAGAATGAGACGTGATAAGGTGAAAAACAAAGTATCAGTGCAAAACTAGAACAGAATCCCAAAGTAGTACAAATAATAGAAAAAAATAACTTCAGTGATATGGGCACCTGAGAAGACTAGGCACCTAGAAGACCTAGTAGAATAAATCGTAAATTCTGGGAGGAGAACATAAAAGAATCATCCAGAAAGAGAGATGGCACAAATAAAAAAATTAATAATAAATAACACAGGTAAGAATAAAGGAAAAGGTTGAACATCATGACACCATAAGGTTAATTTGATTTTCTTTCTTACGCATTTTTTTGCTTTTAAGTATTCTATGTTATATTTTGCTTTGGTATCTTCGTTTTGACTTTTTGAGTTTTCTTTATTTCTCCCTTTTATTATAATAAAGTTCAGCCCGTCGCCGAAATATTTATAAATTATATTGCATGTTTAAAAGTGAAGTTTTGTCCATAATGTAATTAAGTTAATATTAATAATTTTTTAAATATGATATTTTTTGTCACGATTTCTTAATTTATTTTTACAATAACTGATAACAGTAATATTCCAACTCGAGAATAAAAATATTGATAAATTCTATTTGTCTCACTGAAATATCAAGCTTAGGTCAAGGGTTAAACTCGTTAAGATAACACCAATAATCACTGCCATATAGAAAATGTAAAAGTTAAATTTATCTAAAATGCATCGTTTAAGATGACTTAAAAGAATAATACTGGTAATAAAGATTAAATTTTTTTATTAAAAATAAGTTTTTTTTATTAATTTTTACATAAAGATCCCTGTAACAGTCGTAATGGCACATAGAGTTTCACAAAATCACTATATGTCTATTTCTTTTTCGATAAACGTTTTAATAATCGTCATGATTTGCATGTCCTCCAGAAGAAATTAAATTCACTTCGGCGATATCGTTGGTTTTCCTTCCAATTGTCTCCTTATAAATTTTTAATTGAATGTAACCCATGAAGCAAACGATAATCGTTAAAAGACATAACAACACGTAAATGACGTAGATATTGCCGGATGTTTGTGGTGGTTCTGGCATTGCAAGTTTTTCAATTTTAACCATTTCCTTTTCTAAACTAATATCTTTTGTTAAAGTTTTATTACAAGATTGTTTTAAACTTGATGTGTCGTCTATACTAAACATTACTCCATCGTCGTTAAAATAATCGATCATTTCTTCAACTACATAACATGGAAGATTGTTATTGTCAACCGTAATGTACACTAATCTTTGGGCGTGATCAAATAAATCTTTATAATCAAGTTCAGTTATGTCGTTGTAAGATATATCTAACGTGTGGAGATGGTATAATTTCATTACGTTTCCTTTGGCGATGCCGTGAATGTTATTATGAGAAACGTTGAGATATCTTAACTCGGGCATTGGTGAAAAAAGGCCCAGCTTTAATACGTATAATTTATTGTAAGGCATATGTAACTCCCTAAGATTGTGTAATCTAATAAAAGTGGCATATTGAAGTGTATGAATATTGTTATTTTCTAAATCTAAATATTCGAGCTTACTAAGTCCTTTAAAAGCACCATTTTCGATGTTTTCTAATCCGTTTCTCGATAAATTTAATTGTTCCAAATTCTTTAACGATGAAAAAACGTATGCCGTCAAATTTTGAATTTTATTTTGAGATAAATCCAACGATATTAAGCTCGTCATATTGATTTGATCTGGTTGCAATGCCGTTAAAGAATTATTTCTTAACATCAAATGTTCAAGGTTTGGTACTCCAACGAAAGAATCCGTAATTTCTTTAACGTAATTATTTGTTAAATCTAAATGCTTTAAATGGCCTAATTTTTCAAACGACCCCGAATCTATCGATTTAATCAAATTATCATTCAAATGCATGGTTGTTAAATTACCAAGTTCGGAAAACCCATTTTTTAATAACATCCCCAAATTATTATGCGACAAATCTAAGCTTATCACATTTTTTATTCCTTTAAATACACCGGGGGCAATACTTGGAATCGAATTATACGATAAATCGAGTACTTTTAGCTGGATCAAACCCATAAAAGCAGCATTAGAAAGTCCTAGAATGTTACTTCTTTGTAGTATTAAGGTTGCAATTTGGTTGTTTGTGATATCGAAGGCATTCGAAGGTACATTTCCTAAATCGCAATTTTTGCAAATCAACGTCTCGTCTAAACTGTCGAAACGATATGGGGTTGATTTGAAGAAATTTGACGTTGCGTTTTCACATGTAGCTGTTAAAGAACCACGTTCTCCATATGAACATTTCATATTACTCGATTGGTATAAAGAACCGTAAGCGTAAGCGGAGGCATATGTTTGTATACTCAGCGTAACGATACATAGTAATAACTGAAAAAGAAAAAAAAATAGTTAGTAAAAAATCTATTCTGATATTAAGTTAGATAACAAAATGCAAGTCGAATTGAAATTGTAACGAATCACCAATTTCGCATGATCGAAGTTAAATTAATTTAAAATTTATATCTGACCAAATTCCCAAAGTATGAACTTATTGAATTTGATTTAATTTTTGAAATTTTAATAAAATAAATTTGGGTAAATGATTTCATTTCTGACAAACATCTTTGTCACTTTATCGACTCAACACAGCTTGTAGTGAAGGACAAATACTGTCTCCGAAAACGTAGTAAAAATCAGCACAAATCCTTACATATTGTTGAAACTCTAACTATATTTGGATAACCTGGATAACCTTGGATAACTGTCATGTTCATAGAGTTCAATATCTGCTAATTCAAATGTTGTAAAGAATTACTACGTGTAATATAGCCTAAGGACAATCGAAACTCGAGAACATGAACAACACATGGATGCGAAGCATGAACCATGGCGACAGGAGGTAGAAACAAATTAAGACTTTTTTAAAGATAGATCTTGCGCCAGACATGGATCGATACAAGATGTACTGAAATGTGCAGAATAAGAATGAACCACGAATTAGGCCAGCTCATGGATGGTGTAGACACAGTACGACACATAAAATCACAAAGAATATCATGACTGGGACATGTAAAAAGGATTTAGGGAGATAGAGAAGTGAAGGGAATTGTAAAATAGACGCTACAGGTACAAAGAGACGATGAAAAAGGCCAAAGAAATGAATGAAAGATGATGTGATGAAGGACGACAGATATGAATGGCATCGTACTGTGAAGCAAGCTAATGTTCATAGAGGACAGTAGTGCCGGAAGAAGAAGGTGAAGAAGTTAGTACATCAATATTAATTCAGACATATGGATCGATACAAAATGTACTGGAATGTGTAGAATAAAAATGAACCACGAATTGGATCGGCTCATGGATGGTGTAGACATAGTAACACACATAAAATCACAAAGAATATCATGGCTGGGACATGTAAAAGGATTTAGGGAGATAGAGAAGTGAAGAGAATTGTAGAAGAGACACTACAGGTGCAAAGAGACGATGAGAAAGGCCAAAGAAATGATGGAAGGATGATGTGATGAAGAACGACAGATCGGAATGGTATCGTATTCTAAAACATGCTAAAGTTCATAGAGGACAGTAGTGCTGGAAGAAGAAAGTGAAGAAGTGTAATACCACAGGTTCCATATCGATGCTGTTTTCATATGTCCTTCAGCTTCTTACTCTGTTTGTTACTCATAGTGACGTATAAATAATGGTGAGTGGTGGACGTACGATGTTTCTAATATAGGTCAAATATCGCGATCTGCAGACTTCTAATAGTAAACAATTTCAATTTTTGTCTAATAAGTTAACCAACTGCGATTCTCACTAAATTCGAATGGTAAAACTTAATTAGACATCAAAATTAATTTTTATTTAGCACCAAATTATACAAGTAATAATTTTGCTGAGTTTGCATTAAATTCTTCATAGAGACATAATCAAACAACTTTATTATTTATAATTATTTTCCGTGAGTTGATTATGGCTTGTAATTTATTTATTGTAAACATGATAATAACAGAGTTAATACTAAACGAAATTGCGTATTTATTGCGACAATACTATATATTATAAAATCAGTGTGTGATTGACTGAAAATCTAAGGTTAGTATTGTACCACTCACCGATATTAAATTATAAACAGTATTTGCACTGTAATCATAAATGTTATAAAATTTATAAAACGGAACAAAGAAATAAATTTAATCTCGTATTAATCATTATATGACAAAGACGTACTTGGTAATAATGTTCATATATAGCTTATCACTAAGTAGTTGTACACCGGAAAACTCCGTTGCGTATTTATGTTGTTATAGCACGGAAAAAATGATAGAAATGAACATGAGTTGATAATGAAGTATGAATAATAAAATTATTTTAGTGCTCTTTTAATATAAAGAAAAAATAAGTTTAATTTTAATGTTTCCTTTAATTAAAATACAGAAACAATAAAATTTTTATTGATATTTATAATTAGTTCTTTTTATTATCATCACACAGATGACCTAAGTTCACTTTTGATATTTAGGTTACCGTTCGTCGTGATAACAAAGTTCACACTCTTAATAAAATTCTCCGAAATAAACATTCGATTTGCATTATTATTTACAAAATTGCAGTAATGTAAATTAAATAAAATTAAAAAAAAAATTAAATCATTTGTTTTAATAATTCAAATATTTCTAAAAAAACAATCTTGATTGTAATAATTAATTATGAATAAAAGACTTTTTTTACTTACTTTATTCGAATTCATCTTGAGATTTTAACCGAGACGATAAATAAAATAATTACGTCCCACTTTGAAGTTTAAACTTTTTGGATCAACAGCAAAATCAGTTGTTAGCTTTGTCGCCGCGCATTACCGAAACCACACTGACTGATGAACTCCATACGAGCTTGTTTATTTGAATCGGGGATGTTGATTTCCTAGAAAAGGAACGACGCATAACACGCACTCGATGGAATCATTCCGTTTCTTACATCAGAAATGTACAGACATAATAAACAGAAATGTTGATTTATTTAATTATTTAAAATTTAAGTGTTGGTTTCTTTTCTTTAGAAGCTCGTTTAAGCACGCGTTTAAGCTCTTTCAACATCGATAAACTACTGAGAATCACAAGTAATAAGTGATTCAACTAGGTGTAATTAATGCAGATGAGAGAGTTCGTATTTGTTATAGACTGCACGTTATATACAGGGATTTTATACACGTGTCTATAAAAATAACATAGTTTTATTTGATATATTTATGTTTATTTGAAAATAATTAAATTTTTTTACTCAATATGAAGGGTTTTGACATTTTTGTACTAGAATTTGTGCATTCAAACATATTGATCAACACCCAATAGATTTTGCAATGGAGATATTGATGTATTTATTTAATTAACTAAACAGAAGATTGTGGAAATAAATTCACGTATAGTTTATAAATTAAGTATGAACTCATATCTTTGTGACATAACACAGAAAGTTTAATATTTCTATTTTGGCCACCACAGTAATTTCATAGCACATAAAGCTTTGTAGTTTTGACGTCATGTAACACAATATATATGATTCCCCATTTCTTGAGAACCGTGGGATGCAACTGACTCATTCCATACTTTCATTTAGACTCATTTCCATAATTTTTATTGATTTATAGAAGAATTTATACAGTTGTTTTTTATGCCAAAAGAAACATAGAATCTATAAAATTTCTAAAAAGTTTTTAGAAAACATTTCTAGGTGTTTCCATGAATTTCCAACAATACCTAAATTCATCCAGAGGTTTCAAAGGAGTTCCAGTAATTGATTAACAAAACGTTCTTTGAGGTTTTCGGCTACAAGCATTAAAGGCATTAAATGAAAATACATAAATATAGTTTAATAAAAATTTATTATTATACATCAACAAATTAGATGTTTTATAATGATTCATAAGCTGTATGATGAGTAACAGTTTCATTAAGTTGTGTTAAATCGTTTAAATTTCTCTCCTTACATCTTTTTACATACACATATGTCTTATAAAGAATTAATCCAATAACTAAAATAAAAACACTAACAAAAATTAATAATCCATATAAAAATGGAACATGATTATGGCCATTATGATTTGTTATTAATTCTTCAATTTCAACTAAATTGTTCATTATGTTAGAATTTTTCGTTACATTGCATAAAATACTTGCGTTATTATCAATGTTTAAACTAAAATTATCTAAAGGAAAATACGAAATCATTTCCTTTTCGGTATTACAAGGTAAATTATTGTGGTTTACGTTTAATAAAATTAATTTTGGAGCGTTTTGGTATAATTCTACGTAGTCCAAGTACGATAAATTGTTATGTGATAGGTCGAGATAATTTAAATTAAACAATTTTGCGACATTTCCTGTTGGAATTAAAATTTTATTGATATAGTTGTGAGAAAAATTGACAGTAATTAATTCTGGGAGTGGTGTGTATAAAGAGATTATTTTTAAAGAATTTTTACTTAAATCTAAATATTTTAAACGTAATAATTCCGAAAATAAATCAAAAGGAATCGCTTTCAGAGTATTGTTGTTTAAATTTAAAATTTCTAAATTTTTTAAATCATTAAAAGCGTTTGATTCTAATTCGATGATTTTATTATCGTTTAAATAAATTTCTTTTAAATTGATTACAGAACTAAAATAATTCTTTGGTATAACGGAGATGTCATTGTTTGAGAGGTAAAGTTTTAATAAGTTGTTAATTTTGAATTTGTTTTGGAGTTTATTTAAGACGTTGTTACCTAAATAAAGTTCTTCTATGTTAGATGGAAATTGAAATCCATCTTGTAAAATTTTTAATTTATTATTTTCTAATTCAAGTAATCTTAATTTGTTTAAATTATTAAACGCACCTGGATAAATATCAATAATCAAATTATCCGATAAATCCAAATGTACCAAATTTTCCAATTCCGAAAATGAATTTTTTTCAATCCTCCTTATTTTGTTTCGTTTTAAATTAAATATAACAACATTTTTGATACCTTTAAACGTACCCGGTATTATTATTTGAATACTATTATTACTTAAATCTAATTTTCTTAAATAATCCAATCCAACAAAAGTAAACGGAACAAGCCCGGTTATGTTATTATTTTTTAATGATAATGTAAAAAGGTGATTATCTTCAAAATCAAACGTTTCCGGTGGGATATTTCCTAAATTACATCGAACGCATTCTAAGTTTTCTAAGATTTCATTGAAGGTTATTTTTGAAAAATCTTCTGAATACATTCCAAAGCATTGTAAAGTTGATGACCCGGAAATTATATTACAACTTCTTTTTGATACATTCTCCGTTGTTGATGTGTATATAAAGAAGTAAATAAAAAATAATATCTGAAATGGTGAAGAAAAGAAAAGAATAATTTTAAACAATAAAAAATTGAGGTCGTGATTAGTATGGGTGATTCATTGCTTTTTTAGAAATAAACTCATTGTGATAAAAAGAAGATTAAAAATATTAATATTTTATGTTTTATTTTCATTTAATAAATTTATACTTTGGTTATAACCACATACTTTTTTGATAATATCGGAAAGGTAACGAACATTAAAAAAGAGATTATATACTTAAACGACAGGCTTTTAGATTAATCAATCATAATTGTGAAATAATTATTTATTATTTTAGATCGAAGATTATTTTGTAATAAGTAGACAACTTTTTTATTTAGATTTAATATTTTGTCAACGTAGAAACGAGGCAGAAACGAATATCTTAGTACAGCGTTGGTTAAAAAAGAAAAGCTTACTTCGTCATATTCAGTGAAGTGATATCTTCCTGACACAAAAGGAAATTTTTTAAATCTGGCTACTCTACAGCTTTGATTGTGCAGGAAATTCAGGCGAGAACCAACAAATATGTATTTACGACGATTCCAAAGTACCTGACTTGATTACTCTGACTATGTCAGAATAGTCTAATGAATTAACAGAACTTAGCAAAAGAGCCGATTGTAAAAAAGCAGACCAGAAACATGGAAAAAGTATAGACTACAAAGTTAAAAGAGTCGTTCATTCGATATGAAAATTATAAAGAAATTAAGCAGGTTTCAAAACATGCCCAGGAAATAGATTGTACAAAATGCAAATTTAATAATTATTGGATTTTAAGACAGATTTTATATTATAATCAAATTATCATCGTGTAAACCTATCTGATTTTAAAGACAAAGGTGAAACTGATAAAAGATTGAGAAATACTCCAGATAACAAAACCAAAGGAAAGATTAGGTTGTCACTTACAAAACTAAGAACTCGTTTTTTATGACTTATTGTTTGGCCCTCGTCTGAACTAGTCCAACTCGTCTTCCAACCCAAATCCTCTACTACAAAGGTCCATTACTACCATCTTTTAGTTAAATTTATCTTATAGATAAACCCATCTACTAGCCAATCATAGCGCGTAAAATAGCCGTAACCGTGGTAATAATCCCTTAAATAGCTTAACCAGAAGATGGTAGTAACGAGCCTTAATCGGTTCCTACATTAACTACCTGATAATGGAAATCATTTTGGGTAAAAAATGTAAAACATTTATGGAGAGGAGTAAACCTTCCAAGTCAACGCTGCCAAGCTAAAGTGGCATAAAGGACGTTTACAAAATTTTTCAGGAAACAGATACATAAACCCTTCATTACATTGTGTTGAAATTGGCATTTGTGCAAACTTTAAACCAATAACTTTAATTGTTAGATGCAGATTTAAAAATCCTGTTCAACGGTGTAACTAAGTAAAAATTGGCCATTTTAGCGTTTACACCGTTTTGGCTTGTCAACGCGGATGTGTAATCTTACTCTAGTGAGTGTTCTCTATTAAATTAACTATTATAGGTTTTATACAAATTTAGTGCCTAGATTTATACTTTTCCTAGAACTAGATCGGAAGACAGTAGACGTTCTGGACTTCGCTCTTCTTTGACAGGCACATTTAGTTGTTTCACAAGAACATTAACACAAAGACTCGTTCACTGTACAGGGTGTCTCATAGTTTATCTCCGAAACTAACAATAAGATAGAAGAAAAGTAGCTTATATGTCATGATCTCGTTTTTCGAGAAAATGCTAATGCCGAAAACTCCGAACAGCTATCGTCTTTTGTTTTCGCCCTATCGGTAAAAACTGCAAAATTTGCGAAAATGACAAACGCGAATATCTTACTTATTACCAAAGATGGAATATTATGATTAGAACATTGTATGGGGAACTTGTGAATGTTAAATTGTTTCAAAGTACGAAACGTCAAAGTATAATGAGTGATATTAATGAATTTAAAAAATTATGAAATATTTACCAAACGAAAATGAATATAGATCACCGATAAGATAAGGTAATGCAGTAGGCTATAGAGATGGTGCAGGACCGGAAGGAATGGAGAAGAATAGTAAATATCTAATATCACCAAAACCTTGCCAAGAATATAAGGATTGAGATCGAGGGAGGGAACCTCAATCTTGAAAATAACAAATAATTTAAAAAAAAATGTATTAACTTTAATTTAGCAATCCGATATTTTTGTGCAATTCTTAACTGATTAACAGGTTATTACATCAATTTCTTAGAAAATATTATTTTTAATANTCATTCATTCGATATGAAAATTACAAAGAAATTAAGCAAGTTTCAAAACATGCCCAGGAAATAGATTGTACAAAATGCAAATTTAATAATTATTGGATTTTAAGACACATTTTATATTATAATCAAATTATCATCGTGTAAACCTATCTGATTTTAGAGACAAAGGTGAAACAGATAACAAAACCAAAGGAAAGATTAGGTTGTCACTTACAAAACTAAGAACTCGTTTTTTACTACTTATTGTTGGGCCCTCGCCTGAACTACTCCAACTCGTCTTCCAACCCAAAACCTCTACTACTAAATCCGTTCCTACATTAACTACCTGATAATGGAAATCATTTTGGGTAAAAAATGTAAATCATTTATGGAGAAAGGAGCAAACACAAGAAGCGATATCATATAAAGGATACATTAAACAAGCTGATTAGTAGATCATATCTATTTACGTAGGTGGCCTAAATAGATGAGCAAGAGAAACGGGATAGATAGAAAACCTGCTTGCAGAGGAAAAAATGACGGGCGAAAGCGCACGAGGAAGATCACCGATAAGATAAGGTAAGGAAGGAATGGAAAAGAATAGTAAACATCTCATATCACCAAAACCTTGTCAAGAATATAAGGATTGAGATCGAGGGAACCTCAATCTTGTAAAATAACAAATAATTGAAAAAAAAAAATTTTATTAACTTTAATTTAGCAATCCGATATTTTTGTGCAATTCTTAACTGATTAACAGGTTATTACATCAAGTTCTTAGAAAATATTATTTTTAATACGAAGATAATGCGGATAAATTTTGACTGATAAATCAAGAAGTAAACAACGTTATCTACACGAACTGCTCAGAGAAGACTCCAAAATGTTCCGTAAGATTATAAAGTCCAAAACAATCTTTTAAGTTGAATTAAACAATTAATTATTACTAAAAGATAAACTAAAAAATTTAAAAAAAACTTACCATTATCTTTTGTACTATTCTATACATGTTTTCTTATTTCATATTACCGATAACTTATTATTGTAGTTGAAGAATCGAACGTTTGGATCCTTGATGTTTGGTACTCAATGCCAAACAAACAATGTCTTATCGGAGGAAGTGGAAACATCGGTACCAGATATGCTTTGAACTACATACTATTTAATTTCAATATTTTTTCTTCTTTTATACCAAAACTCAGTAGTAATCTTCATCTTATTAAATACCATTAGTAACTTTGTATGATATATATTTAAAAGTTTTAGACATTTTAAAATTCTTTTATTTTCAAAAATTAAGTAATAATAATTCGCCAATAACTACAATTGTAACAATCAAATTTTTATTTATGCATTGTTACCAGATGTACGTCAACCCATAAACGCATATTTATTGATTTACGTGATTTAATAAACCTTACTTCATTTAAAACGACCTCACTTAACAAAACCGAATTTAAATAATTCCCATGCGTTTCTAAAAATCACGTTCGACAACAACGGAAACTAACACTTAATTATAATATATACGTAATTACTTATACATGAAGGTACTTGTAAATCTACTTATCGACGTGGTTTCTTATCATATCACTTAACACAAAAATTTCAATCTCTCCCGTAAAAACCGAGCTGTATCGAAAACATCAGGTAATAATTGTTACGGTCGCCCATAAACCTTGTAATACGCGCTCGTTTACTTTTGATGGTATAAATCAGGAAACTGCGGCAGTTCGTGTTCAAAAAACCCAACATATAGACATGTTCAAGTTGATTATTGCGTGTCTTTTCGTCAATATAATCGGTTTTGTCGTCAGTGTGCCGACAAATAATCGATTAGAATCCAGTTATGGCTGTAATTATGAGGTAAACGATTTTATTTATGATTTAGTTTTTTGTTTAAATAATTAAGTTTTTTAAAAAAATGGTTAAATTTTGTGTCAAGGAAATAAAAAAGTATTTTTATGGACTTTGAAGATAACTGTATTGTTTACATTTTTACATCTCGTTAAACAATTAAAAGATGAATATTAATTCAAATCTTTGTTGTTCTTCAAGGAATTATATATTTAAAACGTTTCAAGGTTTCTACATTGTTTGAGAAATAATTTAATTTATAGGCATGTCATCCAGTAGATCCAGAAAAACTGAACGTTCATTTAGTGGCACATTCTCATGATGATGTTGGTTGGTTAAAAACGGTGGATCAATACTATTATGGAGGTAAATATGTTCATTTAAAATATAACATTTTATGTATTCTTGTTTAAATTGAAGCTAAAAACTACATTCAACAAGCTGGAGTTGAAAATATTATCAGTTCTGTTGTTGAAGCACTCGACAGAGATCCCAATCGCAGGTAAACATATTTATCTTATTTGAGTACACGAGCGATAATTAAATTAAATTTGGAGATTTAATTTTTAATATTTGATAAAATTGAATTCCATTTTATTTATACCAGGATTGCAAATTAATTAGATGAAAATTTATCAAATCTTTAATTAATCTTAATTACGTTTTGTTTTTTGTTGGTAGGTTTATTCAAGTAGAAACAGCATTCTTTTGGCAATGGTGGAAATTACAATCGGAGAGAACTCGACAAGTTGCCAAAGAATTAGTAGATAATGGCCGATTGGAAATAATTAACGGAGCTTGGAGTATGAACGACGAAGCCGCCGCTCATTATCATTCGATAATCGATCAATTTACTTGGGGCTTAAAGTAATTACTTCTTTAATTAATCAAAACAATTTAATTAATTAAAGCTAATTATTTAAATTTCTCAATTAATGTTTTTTAGAACTATTGATGATACAGTTGGAAAATGTGGCAGACCGAAAATTGGGTGGCAAATCGACCCATTCGGTCACAGCAAAGAAATGGCAACAATTTTTTCACAAATAGGTTACGAAGCTGTGTTTTTCGCAAGGTTAGATTATAGAGATAACATTAACAGACATATCCAGCGAGATTTAGAAATGATTTGGCAGGGAAGTCAAGATTTAGGTAAGATTACTCACTAATACAACTATAAAATGAGTAATAATTTCATTTTGGTTTTAAAATAGGAAATTCATCAAACATTTTCACTGGTGTCTTATACGATTTTTATACAGCACCAGCGTATTTCTGTTGGGATGTTTTATGCTCTGACATGCCTATTGTTGACGATGAAACTAGCCCAGAATATAATTTAGATGATAGAGTATATTAAAATAATAACTAATAAAAATGTAGATTACATTTCTCATTTTTAGGTAGAAGAATTTGCTGATTATGTTCTTAAAGGTGCTTCTAATTTCAAAACAAAGCATCTTTTAGTCACGATGGGTGGTGATTTTACTTATCAAGCAGCAGAAATGTATTTTATCAATATGGATAGATTAATTGCGTAAGAAAATTTAATTTCTTTTTACAAATCTACAAATATAGTGGTCTCACCAGTTTCTCTGAAGTCTCTTCCCTCTATTACTGCACTTTTTTTTGGGTTCCCTTCATTGTGCCCACTTCCTTTTGTCTCTATCCAGTCTTTGTTTACTACCTTTCTACTACCATCAGACTATTTTTAGTGTTTCTCTTCTCTATCTTACCAGTTCCTTTCAGTCTCTCAAATATTTCTTTATATAGGTTCTATCTTCTATTCGTTGTATCTCCTGTATTCTTACTGACTCTTTGTTCACTTCCCTTTTTCCAGTTCCCATTTCTAGTCTCTTTTCTGGCTACCAAATTGTCTCTCGATACAAAAGTTACTGTCTCTATTCTATCCTATCCTTTTATCACCAGTCTCTTGCCAGCCCATCTTGTCTTTCCAGTCTCTCTTATTTCCAAACCAACCCAACCTAACTACATCTATAAAATAATATAGATATAAAAATGAATTTCTCTACTTTTCAAATTTTTAAAATTTCTACGATTTTTTATGTCTTCTTATGTAGTAATTCAAACAATTTTTCTTTACAGTGGATTTAAAAAGCTTCGTCCTGACATTAACGTAATATACTCAACTCCATCTTGTTATGTTAAAGCAGTTAACGAAGCTGCTAAAGCACAAGACATAACTTATCAGGTTAAAACTGACGATTTCTTCCCATATGCAAGTGATGCCCATTCGTATTGGACTGGTTATTTCACATCGCGTCCAAATTCAAAACGTAATGAACGTATGGGAAATAATTTCCTTCAGGTTTGAACTTTTTTTAAATATCATATATTTTAAGTAATTTTTATGTTTATACTCACAGGTGATTAAACAACTCAATAGTTTCAAACAATTCGCTGATGATAACGATGACGAAGACAATTCTATTCTATTAAAAGAAGCGATGGGAATTATGCAACATCATGATGCTATTACTGGAACTGAGAAACAACACGTTGCACAAGATTATGCTCGTTTAGTTACAAAAGGAATTCATGCCGCTGAAGAAGGAATTGATTCTATTATTGCGTAAGATACTTACTTATTATTAAAATCATCGAAAAACATTTTAATTTTTTCAGAAATCTTTTAAAGAAAACTGACGATGTATCCTCTGTAACCTTGCCGTTTAAATCATGTCTTCTTGCAAACGTATCACATTGTGAAGCCTCATCTTTCGATACTTTCACAGTCGCAGTTTATAATCCTTTGAGTAGAAACGTAAATCATTATGTTCGTTTGCCTGTGAGTGGAGATTCTTACACTGTAACGGGACCTAAAGGTTATAATTTAAAGTTTTTACACTAAGTTACTTAATGAGGAGTTGTTGTAGGAGTCGTTTCAAGTGCAATTTTGCCGACCATCCATGATTTTGAATACGTCGACGAAATTACGCCATTGTCGCAGGAGTTAGTTTTCTTGGCTAAAGACGTCCCGCCCTTGGGATTACAGTATTATTACGTGGATAAGTCTACTCGGCAGGAAAATGTTACGGTCGAAGTGCAGGAGATTAGACTTGGAACAACGGTAGGTTTCCTATTTTCTGTCAGGGTATATATTTCGGTTTTTACGAAGTACGTGTCTACCGGTGATGCTAGACAACGGTCAGAGGGATTTCAGGGGATATTTGGGATTACGAAGTTTATTCGGTGGTGAATTTACGAGTGTTTATTTTTAGACGCGAAACAATTTATTTTGTAATATAGAATTAAATAAATATATGTTTAAGTAATACATTTTTTGTTTATTACAGGAAACAGGATTTGAAATTGATTCAGAAACTGGTTTATTAAAAACAGTAACAATGAATGGAATCACACTTCCAGTAACTCAAAATTTCATGTATTATAATGGCGCAAATGGTACAAATATTGACGGTGAAAGACGAGCTTCCGGTGCTTATATATTCCGCCCTGCTAAATCCACTCCAGAAGCTTTACCGATTTCCACACAAGCAACGTACAAAGTGTACACTTCTGATTTAGTCGATGAAGTTCATCAAGAATTTAATGATTGGGTTAAACAAATAATTCGTGTTTACAAAGAAAATAATCATATTGAATTTGATTGGCTTATTGGACCAATTGAAAGTCCAGAGTAAGAAGCTAAATTACAATGTTTGATTTTATATTGAACTGAATACTGTTTTTATTTATAAAGGTATCAAGGTGTTGAAGTAGTAACTCGATTTATTACCGACTTGAAAACAGACGCCACGTTTTACACTGATTCGAACGGACGGCAGATGGTGAAAAGGGTGCGCAATTTCAGAGAAACATATGAATATACGAATGAGGAGCCCGTTTCAGGAAACTATTACCCAATAACATCCAAGATTACCTTACAAGATCTCGAAAGGAATATTGAGTTTGCTGTTTTAAATGATCGGGCTCAAGGTGGTGGAAGTTTAAACGATGGAGAAGTTGAATTAATGGTGATTACTATTGATGTAATTTCTTTTAGTTTGAGTTAAACATATTTCTTTTAGGTTCATAGAAGGTTATTAAATGATGATAACTTTGGTGTTGGTGAAGCTTTGAATGAATATGAATTCGGGCAAGGAGTTGTTGTTCGTGGGCAACATTATTTAACATTGGGGTCGATGAATTCGAACTCTGATGGAAAATCATCTGCTGCCCAACAAAGAGATTTGGCGGCTAAAAAGCTTTTGGCACCTTGGGTTGTTGTAGCACCTGCAAGTGATTCTTCCTTAGAAAATTTAAGTTCAAAATTAAACTTCGAGGTAAAATATAAAACATTAACATTTTTAATTAATACAAAATTTATTGTTTTAGTTTTCCGGGTTGACTAGATCTTTACCAGAAAACGTGCAAATCTTAACTTTAGAACCATGGGGAAGCAATAAAGTTCTTTTCAGATTAGAACACACCCTTTCTAATAACGAAGATGCAACGTTATCACAACCGGCTGAAGTTAACATTGATGTGTGTAGCTTTTTTATTATTTCGGATATTTTTTAATGCTATTTTGAAATTGCAGGGACTTTTTACATTATTCGATATCGTCGATATGCAGGAAATGAACTTGGCTGGCAACGTTCCAATAGATGAAATCGACAGGATGGAATGGAATGGAGTGTCATCAGTAAAAACGCAATCGCAGAGAGACGTTCAATCACCCATAGTTTTGAAACCGATGGCTATTCGTACTTTTATTCTTACCATTACCAAAAAAAATTAAAATAATTGGTTAATTCATAAAAGAATTACTTTAATAAATTCTATTTTGCATACTAAAATTTATTGCTTTCTTCGACCCTTTATGAAATAAAGTAACAGGTTTCAATAAAACATAACCTGCTTGATTACTGATTACTTGAAGGTTTTATTAAACATTAAACTCACTGCGCAAACTGTAACTACACCAGGTTTTTATGGCGTAATAAAGAAGATTGACTAACTGCACTTGAAACTTAACTAACTTCTAGAATGTAATTTTACTGGTTTAAGTATCAAATGACTATTTTAAAGCACTGTGTTCGAGTTTTTTCTAATCAAATATAGTACATTTACCTATTATATTAAATAAAGTAGGAAAAGAAACAATAAAAATAGAAAGACATTTTTAGAATTGAAAGATTTTCAATGATTCGAAAAATTTGAATTTTCCTTCCTTTATGTGAACAGCAGAATACGAACCCAATTTTATTTAATCTCTTTGGCCGTTCTCCAATATTCAAGCTCTTAACAGAAATAGGGTGCATTTTGTACGATTTACATATCAATGTGTTCGAAATGAATTTCACAATATTCGTTGACATTGTATTGAATTTTTTAGATAGAGTTTTCTTTAGATTTGTAGTTGAAATGATTAAAAATTTGTTTTTCATATCGTTTAAAGAACGCCAGTTAGCTTCCATATTTCAGGAATGGAACAAATTTGTAGTAAAAATAGAGAATTGAGCAGCGGATTTAATATTAAGGTAAAATATATCAAAAAATATTAAAATTATTAACAGAATTTATTGGGAAAGAAAAGGAAATAAATGAAATGGATAAAGTGGTATCAATGACGTAGTTCTCTATATGGTATCGTTGATCTTTTAATGCACTTGTTCAGTTACAACGTTGTTCTTTTTGAAGTATACTTGTCACATTAGTGATTTGCACCATCCAGTCATTTTGTTGAAGATCTTTCTGCAACTGCTTAATATGAACGTCAACCTCAATGCTGCTATCAACTGCGGTTGGTTAGCTGCTGAATTTTTTAGAATTGATTTTGAATGTTTTATAGGACGAAGCAAGTTATTCAATACTTCGAGAAAATGATTTGAGAAACAACGAAAAAACATTTTGAAGCTCAGATGTATTTATAATGGACTTAAACCATGAATTCTTCAAAATATCAAGACCCCAACATAACATTTTCTAACATTAAATTAGAAAAAATAAGTTTAAAAAAAAAATGGAGGTTAAGCTGAGTTGTTTTTTTGAGTTGAATCTGTACAGCCTGAAGTTAGTGTTAAAGAGAGCAGAACTTGTAACTCAAAACAGCTGCTGTGGGATCTTATTTTATGATGTTGGATCCATACTAGTGATCGAACGGATAGTGATTTTGAGCCTTCAAGAAATTAATTTTATAGCAAATTTTGAAAGTTATCGATGAAAACTGCAACATCGAAAATTTTATCAAAACTTCAAATATTGTTTTCTCAAAAACTAAAAGTTATTTTTCAAAACGGGTTGGTTCATTGGAAAGAGGACACTTTTATTAACACTTTGGGAAATTTTCATACTCATATTCCAAGAAATGGATTTTATACGAATTTTTAAAACTTAATCGGCGAAAATTGCAAAATTCGAAAAAATTGTCGATTATTTCAAAAATTTATTTCTCAAGAACTAAAAGTGATTTTTCAAAACGGCTTTTTGCATTAAAAAGAGGATACTTTAATTAATAATTGGTGATATTTCCACAAGGATCCTTCAAGAAATTAATTTTATAGCGAATTTTGAAAGTTATCGATGAAAATTGCAACATCGAAAATTTTATCAAAACTTCAAATATTGTTTTCTCAAAAACTAAAAGTTATTCTTCAAAACGGGTTGGTTCATTAGAAAGAGGACACTTTTATTAACACTTTGGGAAATTTTCATACTCATATTCCAAGAAATGGATTTTATACGAATTTTCACAACTTAATCGGCAGAAATTACAAAATTCGAAATAATTGTCTTTTATTGCAAAAATTTATTTCTCAAAAACTAAAAGTGATTTTTCAAAACGGCTTCTTGCATTAAAAAGAGGATACTTTAATTAATAATTGGTGATATTTCCAAAAGGATCCTTCAGGAAATGAATTTTATAGCAAATTTTGAAAGTTATCGATCAAAATTGCAACATCGAAAATTGTATCAAAACTTCAAATATTGTTTTCTCAAAAACTAAAAGTTATTTTTCAAAACGTGTTGGTTCATTGGAAAGAAGACATTTTTATTAACACTTTGGGAAATTTTTATACTCATATTCCAAGAACTGGATTTTATATGAATTTTTAAAACTTAATCGACAAAAATTGCAAAATTCGAAAAAATTGTTGATTATTTCAAAAATTTATTACTCAAGAACTAAAAGTGATTTTTCAAAACGGCTTTTTGCATTAAAAAGAGGATACTTTAATTAATACTCGAAAGTGATAACAGCGACAGTTCTGTTAGTAATGAATGTGATTATGAATTATAAGCGAAGAGAAGAAAACTAGACGAAACTGCAACAAGAGATTTAATATATCGTATTAGGATTGTTACAATAAGGTTGCTAATGACAAACCTGGTTTAAATAAACTTGTATTCAATGAAAAAAGTCCTATCCTAAAGATATTAATTCCTGTGAATGATATATAATATGAATATACTCGCCGGATACCGGATAGTGGCCGGGTATCTGTTCCACCACTAATCCATACCCACTGCTATCCAAGGCACCTCCAATGACCAGGACGGAAGTGTTATAAAAAAGAATTACCCTCTACTGTCTTTCTATAACACGCTGCTCTACTACAATGCAGAAACAGTCAGTCACCAGCTATTTACACATTATTATCTAGATATCAGATACACAGCCTGCAAATAAACAGTTGTGTATGCAGAGGAATAACATTATTGAATTAGTAACATCTATCAGCAACTATCTCTGCTTTGCGCTTGCTATAATATAAATCAGCATGATTGTAACCGTGTCCGCTTTAACGCAGATGTTCGCAGGAAGGACGTGTACTGTCTAGTTTATGGCTGTTTTCCTAGTAGAACTGTTTGTATCCAGAACTGCAATTTTAAGTCCCACGGCATCTCATATTTGATCAGTAGCAGTGTCTACGTCTTTTCAGCTTTCCAGGAGAGACCATGGTCTGCATTGCAGGTATGAGACGAAAATCACTAAAATAGTTAAGAACATGAACACGCGCTGTAATCTCGGCTTCGCAGTAGGACCATTGAAATGAATCATCATATGTGTTCTGTAGAATTTGTTCCTAGTGTATTCGCCCACAAAGAAATACATTGTATTGCACATTTTCAGGTTAGCCGTCAATAGTAGCAGTAGATTATAAAAGCTAATCCTCTGCCTCGGTCTGTGTTGCGAAGAAGTAGGTTGCGAGATTTTGTCAGTGACAAAACATTAATGGGTGGACTCAGGACTCTTTGTGTATTTGATTTTCCCATACTTATACCAATGTTCTGATACCTTGGGCTACATCGATGACTACTTATGGATGCAGGAGCAGCGCCATTTTTTATTTTCCTGGGTTGATGACTTTTGGCAACCGATGAGCTATAGAAAGGTTATATATATAACCTTTCTATAGAATATATCAATGTAATGAAATGTCAACTTTAATAGTTGAAGTTAACTTGTAAATCTCTTACTTGATGGTTAAAATAAGATGTGTCAAATGTGTCAAACAAAAATTTAAAAGATAACAAGTTTTGCAAATGTTAAAAAGAAAATGAAAAAAGTAAATGGTAATCATAAAAATGATATTTGTTCATTTTATCTCGGATTTTCTTTTGAGTATCTGATGGAATCTATGTCGTCACGTCTGAATGACGTCCTTCCACGTTAAATCCGGGTGGTCGTGTACTTTGCAGAAGCACACACAAAGATCCGCCGCGCTTCGGATCTATGCGGCTACGCGTGCGTCCTGCAGGATATATTCACGGCCGACGCAATCGACGCCGTCGCCACTGCCGCGGCTAAAACCCGGCTCGTGGATTCAGTACCCCTGGCGGAAGTGTCGTTAAACAACGCGTCGTCAACTTCACAACCACGACTCTCCGACACATTACCACAAATTTCAAGCAAAAAGACGAAAATATTCATAAAACGTAATTTTTAAGGAAGTAATGTAATTTCGAAATTGTAAAAAAAACCAACAAAATTAGTAAGAAAACTTAATTGATTTTGTTGAACAAAAGACGGATACGTTTTAAAATCCTCACTTCAAAGGATAAAAAGCTGTCGTTGGAGGGTTTCTGAAGATTTTTCGGTGATGTCATAATCGTATTAACTGCGAGACGAAGAGTGCGAGGCGTCCGGATTTTGGGGATTCCGTGATAATTTCCAAAACGAATTGACTAGACACAAGATAACGGGTAAGTATTTATAAAGATTTTTATGATTAATTGATGTTTATTGTGATTACTAAAATGTTTGTGTCATGTTTTGCTATGCTAAGAGAATTATTGATTTACCTTCAATCAGTTAATTTGTTACGGAAGATGGTGAGATAACTCCGTAGAATCTCTTCTTTTCACAATAACATTATATTTGACATAATTTGTCTATTATAGAAATTTGTGATTTACTCTATGTGGCCTAAAAAGTATATTCAACTAATTTAAGTTGATAATAATTTTTAATGACTAGGAGGGTTTAAGTTGCTAATTAGTTTTGAGAAAAACTGGTATAAGTATATTTTATTGCATGTCATAATAAAATTACATCTCCGTTGTACATAAAAAAAGTACTTATATGTAATTATGCGACAAATAATAAAATTGAAATATAAAATATAAAAAAGAACAAAACATTTGGATCAATACCGAGAATAATAAAAAAACTTTTGCATTATTAATAACATTCGGAATTAAGTACTCATCAAGCACAAACATTTTTTTTTTGTACCATTACTTTTATAAATAATAAACTAAGTTAATAAAGATCGATAATTTACGTTACGTTTTATTGATTACACATGTTGAAAATAATTATCGAAGAAAAGTAATGGAACTGTGCCACCTGTCGCATCTGCTCGTACTTCTTAAAATATTTACCCCCATAAAGTTCAAGAAAGAAGGACATGACGAACCCAATATAAAGTTACCCAAGTAGTACAACAAAAGGAATCAACATTATATTTTAAAGTGTGGTTTCTCGAACTTGTGTTTTAAGTACAATTCGCAAGGTACAATTTATAATTTATAAACCTACAAAAGTTTTCTTTACAAAAATTACGAGTTTGGTACATTGAATAAACGTATATTAATTATTACCGAGTTTTCATAAATTTTAGCCGAGCTTCTCTTAGGCCCACTTTTACCACCTCTTGATAAATTTATCCGATAGATAATTACCATGGTTACAGCGGTTTTAAGCGCTCTCATTGGCTAAGAGCGCCATTTATCTATCGGTTAAATTTATCAAGAGGTGGTAAAAGTGGGCCTTAGGCGGCTAAACCGTAACTTTTTAGTTCTAGGTCTAGTATTAGTTCTACTCTTAGTTCAAGAAAAATATACAACAATCTAGCGCTGAATAACAACTAAAACTAGAACTAACACTAGACCTAGAACTAGAAACATTCGGGTTTAGCCGTCTTAAGAGACGTACGGCTAAACTCGAAAGTTTCTAGTTCTAGGTCTAATGTTAGTTCTACGTTTAGTTCAATAAAAATATACAACAATCTAGCACTAAATAACAACTAAAACTAGAACTAACACTATATCTCGAACTAGAAACATTCGGGTTTAGCCGCACGTCTCTCAAGACGGCTAAACCCGAATGATTCTAGTTCTAGGTATAGTGTTAGGTCTAGTAACAGTGCTAGTGTAAAACTAGAACTAACACTATACCTAGAACTAGAAACATTCGGGTTTAGCCGCACGTCTCTCAAGACGGCTAAACCCGAATGATTCTAGTTCTAGGTATAGTGTTAGGTCTAGTAACAGTGCTAGTGTAAAACTAGAATTAATACTAGACCTAGAACTAGAAAGTATCGGGTTTAGCCGTGCGTATGGCTGATAATAATAAAATAACTAAAACTAGAACTACCATCCTTGATTTATAACTCGGGAAATACCACTAGTTTATCTAGAACATGGAATTGAGCATCTTGGGGAATAACTCGAGTTGGATTCTATCTATGAGCGCTAAAATTTAAATTTTAATACTTTTTGCAAAATTTAATACTTCAAATCAAAAAAAAATTATTTATAATAAAAAATTTACTTCATATTTTGTGTAATCCTATAAAAAGTAATTTTCATTTCATCCATATACATTAGAATTATTAACAAAGAGAGATTGCAAGGAATATTAGGATTATGTGATTTGACTTTCCCGAAGCTATTGATATGCTTCGATGTTTAGTACTGCTTTTAATACAAGTTTCTCCGAGTTGGCTGTGGATCATTTTGCGAATGTAACCCGTAATTAGAGTGTTGAACTTGACTCTAATTTGAGATTAAAGAAGCATTTCAGTAGTCTTCTTCAGTAAGATTATTTCGACCTAAAGCAAAGGTTAAGTGTTCTTTTATGTGAAGCATTTAGATAGTAATCCATCTTAAATTACGGGGATTAATTTTACTATTTATAAACAAGCATTTCCAAATACAGCTGTATGGATCAGTTGATGTATCGCCTGTTTATTTATATTATAAAATGTATACACAAAATTTGTTTTATACATAGATAAAAGAATTCTGTATTGACAGAGCATCTTTCTCGTTAATTTCTTTTTGCTTAATATATCCATCGGGTTATAACGTTATTGGCCTTCCGATTTCATCCGCATCTTTCCATGAATCCTTCCTCCTTGTGTTGTCTAGTTTGTACAACTTTTTTAGTGTTCTTTATGTCTTATCCTGTATTGGTCATACTTCATAGCTGCAGGTTATTATACATCTAATTATTGAATTGTATATTCTGCTTGCTTTTTTATTATATGTTTATCGCCTCGTCAAGTGGTTTGGTGTTTTGTTTGCCGGAAATAGACAAATCTTGCTGTTCTTCTCCAATATATATGTATTCTGTTATTTGCAAATTAAACTCTAAGTCTCATTTACCATATTCTTCAATTAGTGTGTATCATATATTCCGCACCATCAATATCCTGTGCAATCACAACTCGATCGTCACCAAATTGTCAAGGTGTATCATTTCTCTACTAAGAAAAAGACCCCAAAAACATGGGCGCAGGGCGTGAAAGATGTGATGACAGCTAGACAATGAGCTAGGGAATGCACAAGATAGACAAAAATGGCATGTTGGTCGCGAGAAACGCTGCATGCTGTATTAAATCGCTATGATGTGAGCATTTATATTAGTGTGCTGTAAAGCTTTCCAGAATTTTATTACAGAAATACTGTCATATGCTTTTCTTAGATCTACAAATAACAAATGCACTTTCTAGTCATACGCTATTTTCTTTTCTATGATTTGAATTAATATAAGCAGATGGCCAATAGTGGAGTTATAAGATAGAATTATAAGTTAAAGCTGTTTCGAGTTTGATTTGGTTTACAATCAATCTTTCGAACAACTTAAGTAACATAATAATTACTGTTTATGCAACCCATTTTACCCCACAATTTCATTTAGGCCTGTTTTGGTTCATGAGTTCTGTAATTCCGAAGAGTTCTGAACTTTTCTGCGCATACATAATGCATATTAAATATATGCGCAGAAAGATTTAGAACTGCTCAGAACTTCAGAACTCTTGAACCAAAATAGGCGTATTATAAAAATTTGTTAACCAGTTCGGAAGCGCTCTCTTGCGAAGACACGACGTGTTCAAAAAAATTATTGTATTATACAGTGTTTGTGGGAGACGAAATAATTAAAGTGAGCCTTCTTTTTATTAATCTTTTATTTTCATTTATCTTATCCATTTAGCGGATAAAATTGAATCAACACCTTTTTATTTGAATCTGTTTTTTTTGCTGCGCAGTTTCAATTACCATGATCAATTATTGATTCTTAACTTTATAAGACTATATTTCCTGTTTAGTTATTTTGATTTTACATTGTCAATTTCATAGTCAATTCTAGATATAATTATTCAACGAGAACTTAATTCTAAGATTTATTCTAAGAGTAACTCGTATCTGAACGGTAACAAAACTATGTTTATAGTACTTTCATGTGATTGCGTGTTTCTCGCATTATTTATCACAGTGATGAATGGATATCTTAAAATCTAACTTTTGAATATTTATTTAAAGAGGATTAAAAGAATATATATTTTAAAATAGTTCTTTTTACGACAGCTAGACATGAAATATTACTTTTAACTTTATAACTTTTTGGCTTAACACATTTTTTCCTTACCTCTTTTATTAGCTTTTAATTCTATTGAAATAATCACTTTATTATTAAGAGTATTAATTTTAGCATTTTAAATATAAAACTACACTATTAATATGACCGTCACATTAAACGTATCACTATTAACCATTGTTACGGTTATAACAATGTAATCTTTATTACTTTTGTTGCAAGAAACATCCATAAAATTCGTTTCATAACCAATTTTCATTTTATTTAGTATCGTAGTTTGATATGCTCTTAATTTAACAAGTACAGTAAAACTACGATATAACCGACCTCTTTAGAACGGTCTTCGGATATAACGGACAAAATAGATAGAATCGAGTTGGTTAGAATCCAACACGAGTTATTTCACAAGTTGCTGTATTTCATGTTCATAGATAAACTCGGGGTATTCCCCACGTTCTNCGCATCTTTCCATGAATCCTTCCTCCTTGTGTTGTCTAGTTTGTACAACTTTTTTAGTATTCTTTATGTCTTATCCTGTATTGGTCACACTTCATAGCTGCAGGTTATTATACATCTAATTATTGAATTGTATATTCTGCTTGCTTTTTTATTATATGTTTATCGCCTCGTCAAGTGGTTTGGTGTTTTGGTTTCCGGAAATAGACAAATCTTGCTGTTCTTCTCCAATACATATGTATTCTGTTATTTGCAAATTAAACTCTAAGTCTCATTTACCATATTCTTCAATTAGTGTGTATCATATATTCCGCACCATCAATATCCTGTGCAATCACAACTCGATCGTCACCAAATTGTCAAGGTGTATCATTTCTCTACTAAGAAAAAGACCCCAAAAACATGGGCGCAGGGCGTGAAAGATGTGATGACAGCTAGACAATGAGCTAGGGAATGCACAAGATAGACAAAAATGGCATGTTGGTCGCGAGAAACGCTGCATGCTGTATTAAATCGCTATGATGTGAGCATTTATATTAGTGTGCTGTAAAGCTTTCCAGAATTTTATTACAGAAATACTGTCATATGCTTTTCTTAGATCTACAAATAACAAATGCACTTTCTAGTCATACGCTATTTTCTT